CTTTAATTACGGTTAAAAGTGTCGTCCGATAATCGTAAGGTGTATGGCCACCTTTTAAAGGATCTGCATTCTTAAATCTATTAGCCAGTAAAAAGTGTGGTTTGTTACTCTTAACAGTATATTTCTTGATTTAAGTTTTTCCATTAATCAAAGAAGTGCTTGAGCTGTAATCAAGTGACTTGTCCTAGGTTGAGATGATACTATCAGTCCGTTGTAAGCCGAATGAAGCATTTTCTCAGTCTACTTTCCCCCATATTTTTCAGACTGCAACATTGTTTGTAACTTTATAGTAAGCCACAAGGTGAGAGGCTGCAGCAAGGGTCTGATCTATACCAGATATTTGTCATCTCAAAGCCCCCTCTGTAGTCTCTGAAGTAAGTACTGAACCTGGATAATGCCTGAACAAATATGACTCTGTCCTGCTGGACACAAAAGCCATAGTAGGCATTGGCCGTGAAAGTACTGTACTCTCTTGGAGAAGTAATAAGCACAAAATGTAAAAATTTTACTTACATATTAATTAATTATTTCTGAGCAGTATTATAGGTCTATCACTGTGCTATGCACCATTACTATCCAATAAGAAGGCTTAAAAGGTGGGAGGGATGAGGACTGATATAGACCAGGAAATATGGTTTATAGTTGCATGCTAGTGTGATTTATAATTCTTGGCATTTCATGAGCTATTATAAAAAATAAAAATGGAACAGACTTGCAGGCTTCTGGAGGTAACTGCTACATAGTGCTACTTGTTTCCAGTACAGGTTTGTTTTAACCTGCACAGCTTGCCAGTGTGTATCTAAGAATGTCATTACATGTGTTTTTGATACTATTACTCTGATTACCAATTAACTTTGTTTTCAGTTGTGGTGCCAAAGGGCAACTGGGCAGGACTTTCTTGTCAGAATCTTTTTTTATAGACTTGGCTACACAGTACAGTAATAATAATCACCCATTGGTTTCTTGTATACATTGGGGTCTCCATTGACCAGTGTTCCCTACTCATCCATCACTTGGCCATGGGTCTTGCTACTCTCTTTGATTAGGAAGATTCTTCATCATCCAGCAAAAACCTTCATAATATAACATTAAAGTCTACCTCTCTGATGGAAGCCCCTCTCTACCCCTTTTCAAAAATGCTTGCGGTTACCTGGCTCTGTCTTCAACACATCTGAGACCCAGGACATACATGCAGCAATTAAATGTTGGAGAAAATTCATTCATCTCTGAGCTCGTTTTGTGTCAGTTACTCCAAGTACTGAAGCCAAAGAACTCACCTAGGCGACACCTCACCGTGCGGCAATCGTGCACGATTCCGCAAAGATTGCAGTGCAGTCAGGAGTCGCCAAGGTATGAACCAATCGCGTTGTGGGTGCCATTATTTTCTTATGGCACCCCAGTCGCGTCGGGCGGATCGCGCACTTTCCCACGGCGATTCCGCCTGTGCTTTCGAACATGAACAGCCACGCGTCGTGTATCGGCAAAAAGTTACATGTACCTTTTTTCTGCGATTGCCGCGCGGATGTCACCCCATTGAGAACCCATTCACACAAGGGCGGTTGCGCATCAGCGCGGTAGGAGGGAGGTTTTGGGAGTTTTTAATTGCGTTTCAGCGCTGTAACGCCTGACACCGCACTGATGCATTGAAGCCTGTTTGGAAACTGCACTGATCAGTGCGGCAAAAATAGTGCAGGGGGCGGTTCGGATAGCGCGGATTTGCGCAGTCACATGAACGGTCCCCATAGCAATGTGTGGGATCGTTCATGTCGGCGGATCTGTTCAGCCGAACGGGGTCTGAAATCAATGGGGCCGTGCGGCAATAGCTGCCTGTATTGTGGAGGACCGTGCGATCCCGGGTGTCGTGCAGGTGTGAACCTAGCCTCGGAGACCTGTTATAATATGAACCCAGGGCCGCTTAGCTACTGCAAGGCCATCATTGCTACTCTGCATTCTATGCCTCTTGCTTGGAAGCTAGTAAAGTCTTTTTTCCATGAAAAGATTTACTTTTTTTTTTCTTTTGTAAGTGCAAGAGTATGTATGCTGTAAAGCGCACAAATATAATTCTTAAAGATAACCTAACTGTTACTGCAAAATGGTATTTTGTTAAAACTATTGAGCAGCCTAATGTTCTTCTAAATTGGTGTTCTTCAAATTCTAGTAGAATAACTAACTTTTTTAATGCGTTTAGTTAAACTGCAAAATCTTGAGTATTTCTAATTGAGATGGTCTTTGTGCAGTAGTTATCTAGAGGAAATGGAGAACAATCATTTTACAAGCTTATTTCTTTTAATGGTGCAAATTAGCTAGCGTGACGTCTATGGTACAGTTAATGCTGAAGTAACAAGAAGTCATAAGCCGTAAGCCAAAAATAGAATAGCTGAGAACTTCACAGCCACTCGCAAAACTGACGTGATGTCAGATTAAAATGTAATAGCATGATGGGTTTGTTCAGACCTCTGCCTGGTTACCTACAGCCAACATCTAAGCAAGTATAAAAAAAAATCACCCTTTAATCCCTTTTATGTGTTAATGTAAAAAAATATATTTTCCGTTCCAAGAGCGTGTTCTTCAGTCCAGTTTGTTTGTAAGTCCAATGAAGTTAGCCTTGGTGCCCAGCTACATCACTGCTACTTTTACACTTGCTTCCGGACATCCTGGGCTTGAAATAAAGATACTGTACTCTATACAGTACTGTGCAGTAAAATACACAAAAGCACACACACATGACAATGTATGCCAGGCGTGAACTAACTTACATGATTGGACATGCATGTTCGTATCTTTGAAAGTTCGTAATTTGAATGTTTGTATGTAGGGGACTTACTGTATAGTATACTTTTAGTTGGCACATATTGGGAGTTGTTTCAGGATTTGCATGATGCTAATAAATCTAGGTCACCAAAGAGAGATCTCAAAGGCTTGGAACCATCATTCTGTTACTTGCCCAAAGAACTCAAATGCAAGGTCCACTTATTACTGGTCCTACCCCCTAGTAAAATCCTTGCATGCCACCCGTTAAAAAAAACAAAACACTTGTAGAGAAAGTAAAAAAATGTACAAGGCAGAAAGCTGGGATGTTTACAGGAGCATGTGGGCCCCTCACACCAAAACCTGAGCAAAGAGCAGCAGGCAGACCCAATAATGATCTGATATCATTGGGTCTCATAACGGTAATTTGTAAGAAAATTATTTTATTTAAAAAAAAATCCTAATTGTATGTTGATCAGGGGAAGGGAAGCACCTTTCAGCTCTAAAACTGTTTGACTATAGTTTATTTATTATAGAACTCTGTGCTTGCATAGTTTACTCTTTTGAGAAGGAAGTGTGCTGAGGAGCCTGTAGGCAAAAAATGTCAGGCAAAGGGCAGAGGACTAGTTACTAGTGTTGCCTGTGGACTCCCTGCAGCTGATCTTGTCCCCATTACTGACTTGCCGTGCCTTGTTCTATATTGTTTTGCTTCCTCATATCAGAGCCTGAACTAAGGACAACAGTGAGCAGTGTAATGTTGACATCAGCAAATCTCAGACTGAATCTCCTGAGACTAGCAGTCAGCTGCACTAGTGCCTTAGATCTCACACTGCAGATATACAACTATGAGGCTGAGTTTAGGTTCACACCTGCACTACACCGCACGACACCCGGGACGCGCCACAGTGTGCTAGTGCATACAGCGATTGCCACGCGGCCCCATTGATTTCAATGGGGTGACATCCGCACAGCAATCGCTAAAAAAAGGTACAAGCACCTTTTTTTTGCGGCACGTGACTCGTGTTCATTTGCACGTGGGGAATCGCGGCGGGAAACCCGGCACGACTGGGGTGCCATTAGAAAATAATGGCACCCACAACGCAATCAGTTCACACTTTGGCGACTCCTGACCGCGGGGCAATCGTGCACAGAACCGCACTGATTGCCGCATGGTCAGGAGTCGCCTGAGGCCCCATTCACACTGAGCGATTTATCGCGCGATTTTTGCAGCGATATCGCTCATATTTCCACGTGATATCGCTCTATGTAGCTTCTCCAATCCATTTCAATGGAGCTGTTCACATCTCGTCGCTCAATATCGCTCGTAGCTCGTCGCTGTTAGCTTGTCGCTCCAACATGACTCCCCGCGTCCCTGTGCCGATTGTGGATGTGGGCGGGCGGTGAGTGTGAGGCGGGGAGGAGGTGCGGCGTGAAGAGCGTGGATGCTGGCGGGCGGGTCTGGCGGCGGCGAGCGTGAGATGGGGAGGAGGTGCGGCGTGCAGCGTGTGTGGAGCCGTGAACAGGGCCAACTGATCAGAAGCCGATTAATCGATTATTGAAAAAGTTGACAACTTTTTCAATAATCGATTATGTCGATTAGTTGTTGCAGCCCTAGTAGCGACACACGACCCGCGACAGCAGGACCCTTTGCCCCATTGGATTGCATTGGAGCGCGATATCGCGCGGTAATTTGCCGCGATATCGCGGGAATTACCGCGCGATAAATCGCTCAATGTGAACGGGGTCTTAATGGGGCCTAAGTGTCAATCTAGCCTGAAGGCATAGGAGTGCCTAGGTACCCTCACATACGGGGAGGTGCAGTGCTATGTTTCAGGAGGAATACAAATAAAATCTTTTAGGGTACTGCTTAGGAACAATTTCTACGTGTTCTCTATAATATAGCAAATCTTAATCCAGGTCCAGGCTGTGGTTTGTGATCTTTTTAAAACTTGCAGAATTCTATAGGCAAGCACATTTCTGCAAACAATTATTTTTCTGTCTTGCTTTTATGTTTATAGATAGGTTTTTCAGCATGCTGCCAAGAGAATTCTCATCTAATGGGAAATTTGACAATGGAACACGAGGTGTAACATTGATGCACACTTTGCTGTTCCTTGAACTCATGCTGACTTTTAGTATCTTTTAGTGGATTATGAAAATAATCAGTTGCAGCACTAATATCAATGGAATCTTTACGCCTGTGTGTTTTCTCATGTACACAACTAATGATCACTTGTTTCTTTTATTTCCAGGCCAGCCTTTCCATATGGGGATGGGGAAGTCTTGGCGTAGTGCTCTTCCTGATAACTTTTGGGCCTTTTGCTATATTTTATTTTGCCTTCTATATCCTCTGCTTTGTTGGTGGGTAAGTACCGTGATCTCCAGATATGTGTATGTAAAACTGAAACTCTAGGCGAAGCTTTTATTGCGTTATGCATAGAGTAGGGAGAGTTAGAAGCTCTGCCAGGTTATTATGGCTTGTTTAGAAGGGCCGGTTCGTGGAACTCGTAGCTGAAAGGTATGAACAGAGGGGGTGGGGAGAGGTGGTGGAGGTAAGTTCATTTTGTGAGAAAGTGGACCCTTTAATGTGTATTACCACATTCATATAATACTTCATCTATATTTGTTACAGGATCCCATTCACATGTGACTTTACAAAAATATTTAAAACTTGCTGCTTACCTTTTTCTATTTGCTGAAAAATCTTATTGAGCTTCCACCTTCTATGTAATGTTAATGATGGGACTGGGGAGCAATGTTTGCCATAATTAAAGCAGAACTCCGGGATTCTGCCAGGGTAAAAGACAAATATGGGATAAGTGGCCCAAAGCCCGTGACTCAAAGCTCAGTATATCGCGAGCTACAGCTCGCGATATACTGAGACCGCTGCAGCCGGGACGGATCAAGACATTACTGTCGAGATCCACCCAGCTGCGTGAGTGACACCTGGCTCTGCCTATCTAGAGGCAGAGCCTGCTGTACTTGCCCCCTCCCACGTCCGTTCCTCCAGTCAGCGCTGGAGGATCGGACAGGGGAGGGGTTGGATCCCTGCAGGGAGCCGTGAGTGACAATCACGGCTCTCTGCAGGGACATGATGGAGAAGTGAGCGCGCAACGTTATGTGTTCGCACAGTTCCCAATCTATTGAGCCAATGTCATAGTTCTCTTTTAAGTGCTTGTTTTGGTCTAGGGAGGAATGATAAAGTTATGCTCACCCGATCCTCTGAGCCAGCTGGGTGTTACAGCACTCCCTGAAGCCAGTTTCCTCCTCCACTGCAGCGATGGTATGTCCCCCGTTGTCCACACATCCTATACACTGTGTATACAACGGGATGACTAACAGACCTTAGACCGCTACAGTGAAGGGGGGAGAGAGGCTCCGGGACCAGTCTAACAGCGAGCTGGCTCCAAAGATCAGGTGAGTATAACTTTATTTTCCTCCCTAGACCAAAACAAGCTCCTAACCCTTGCAGTAGCCACACTTGATTCTGTGCTGGCAGATCTCCAATATAATTTTAAACTATACTAGATGTGCAGAACTGTCTGTCCTAACAAAGGATTGACAGCGCCAAGTCTTGGGGGCTACATCGTATGTTAATGCACTTCAAAAAAACTGTTCCTCACGTCTGTCTCTTATCTGCATATTGCCATCTATTCCAAGCAACAGAAGCTGCTTGTAGTGTCCTGTGTGACATCCATTTCCGTTCTGATCTGTTCAGTCTATGGATCGCCTGCTGAGACTGAACAGAGGGTGCCCGTGTGAAAGGGGCCTTTGTGTAAGGCCCCTTGTTATCTGCTTGTGACCTCTTTGTAAAATTACAGATAGTGTTACCCCCTCCCACAGGTACTTGGTATTTTTTTAAAGTGTACCAAACCTGAATTGCCGTGCTCTGCTACATCCACCTGAGAAAGATTTCACAATTATTCATTTCTTGTATTATTCATTTTAGATTGTATTATGACAATCTTTGGCTAACAGGCAGAGGTCTCAGAGTGGGGCGTTGAGCTCAACATTTAAACTGTTCTGGTATTTTGCTATACACCTATCAAAGGAATTTGGCACTTTCTTTTCTGCATGTTTTTGCTAGTAAACCAAACTAATAAAGCAAGAGTGAATGATCCCCGGAGCCAGTCAACTAACCTGTTATCTTGCTGTTAGTATAAGCTTATCTGGCTCCTCAGAAGAGAACTATAGCCAAACCTTTTTTTTTTCTTTGGCTGTTCTCTTTTTGGTCACAGGAATACATTTACTATGTTTTCGGGATCCACGTGCCTTATTGACAGCCGACACTTGCCTCTCTAAAGCCAGAACCAGCTGTGCCCGCCCCCTCCCCTGTCTGTTCCTCCAATAAGTCCTGGTGGAACAGAGAGAGGGGAGGAAGAATCCCTTGGGGTGCAGGGAATGACACCGTTGTCTTCAGGGAAAAGCCATGAGCTAAGCAATCAGCGGTTTCTGATCGCCCTATAGATCTCGAGCTATAGACCCAGTATCTGACAGCTGCAATGTCACATGCCTGCTCAAACTATTGGAAAAAGTATATTTTACTCTCTCAGTAGTTCTCCTTTAAAGTGAACCTCAGTTCTGCCTATGTAGGGCGAAGCAACAGGTGCACATAAATGCCCCCTCCCCAGAAGGGGCGGGAGAAATGTACCACCTATGTAAGTAAATCTATGTAAGTTTCAAGTCGCTCAATTCATAGCTTACATGAGGCTGTGGACTCTCTCCATGTGACGGTGCTTTTTGATTGGCCTGTCTGTAAGTCTGTTGCTTGGGTCCCTCGCCGGCACCATTTCTGCATGTGAGGACCGCTAATTCAGTGCTGCTAATGTGCCCACGCTATCTGGTCCCTTTTCTATGATCAAACTCCTATTCTGATCTTGAGAGGACTCTGCCGCTGGACAGCCAATGGCAGGTGTCCACTTCACGCAGGCAGTGACTTGGACACCCGAAGAAGGAAGCCACCGGATGTGAACAGAAGAGGGGAGAAGACTCTGGAGTGGACCGTCATGGGACAGGTAAGTAAAAGCAGTATTTCAGTTTCTTTTTCTTTTTTCATGCCCACGATCAGTTAGAAGGGCCTTCTTGTTTTTCCCAAAGTTGGGTTTAAGCAGCCATGTTGCTTTGCCCTGTGTAAGTAAAATACAGGTTTGCTTCAAATAGGGCTGCGGAAATTAACGATTAATTTCTCGATTATTCGTTAAACTTTTTGATCGATTCAAAAAATTTTGATCATAAATGAAAACACCTCTCCGCCGGCTTCCGGGAGTCCCATCGGAGATCCGGTGACGTCACGGACATCGACGTCACTGGACTTCCCCAAGGGGCTCCGTCGGCTAACAAAGGAAAGGGGGGAGGAGTCCGGTGACATTTGATGTCCGTGACGGCTAACAAAGGGAAGGGGGGAGGAGTCCGGTGACGTCGATGTCCGTGACGTCGATGTCCGTGACGTCACCGGACTTCTCCCCCCTTCCCTTCGTTAGCCGACGGAGCCACTTGGGCCGGTGAGTACTTGTTCTGCACGAGTGCCAGCAAAGGCATTGGCCTATACACATACAGCGCAGCAATGAAGTAATACAATTAACTAGGATCACACTAATTTAGCACGTTATTATTCTGAGTTGCCCCACTCAAGCGGCGGCCATATTGAGTGCGGCACTTAAAATAATAATAACGTGCTGGATTAGTGTGATCCTAGTTCAATTTATTACTTCATTGCTGTGCCGTATGTGTATGGGCCAATGTAGTTGGATCTGTATGTGCGTTATAATTAATCGAAATTAATCGATTTGTAAAACATTTTGATTAATCGAACACGAAAATCTTAATCATTACCAGCCCTACTTCAAGGCTTTTCTTGGTGGTTCTCCTCCAGTAGAGGGCAATTATATATTTCAGGAAGGTTTTAGCAAACAGGTGACACAACTGAAGAGAAATGTTCCTGATCAAATCTTTGTGCTGCTATGCAGTATGTAGAATATTGTACGTGGCCTGCTTGCATTTTACTCCATTGCTGTGAATTTATGCACCACGGAAATTAATTGCAAGCCAATAAATTGACATATTGTGGTTAAACAGACCTTACCATATGACCAACATACAGTTTTTTTTTTTTCCTTCAAGGCCATCTAATGGAAAACACATGCAGAAAAAGAAATAAAAATGCAAAACATATGATAATGCACAAAAATGCACAGCCTTTGCATGTTAATAACATACAGAACTAAGTACATTTGAGCACATTGTGATATTGCTTGCTGACTCCTACGCTGGGCTGGGTGGCTTATGAGTTTTCTATAAATTTGTGCTATCCTCTACCCTGATGGCTAGGAGAGAGTCCTCTGGGCAGCCATTCCACTTCCTGTAGTCTGTATGCTGTTCACTAAAGGTTAATAATACTATGCTTAATAACATATAAGCTTCAAATACCGCATAACGTGACATCCGTGATATAACTAATGCCGAGGCACTAACCTTTACCAGCTAGCTCTCATCATTAAATCTAAATAAACATTTCTGAATGTTAAACTGCTTGAATGGCATAGATCATTAGTTAATAGCAGCCAATATTTCAGTGAGTTTATCTGCTGAAACTTGTGTCTCAATGGCAGTCCTGTGTACAGGGACATATAGTTTATTGGCCTCAAATATGACTGGATCATTCGCATTTAAGATGGCTAATTGTGTGTATAGTAAAAGTACTGTGTGAGCGGATTTCACAGGGTCTGTTCCTATTGTACCGTTTAATTATAGGACACGGCTGTATCTACGGCCTATATAACTCCAGAGAATAAAGCCTCATTCATATGCCTCTGAAATCACATGATTGTGCTTGACTGCTTTGCATGGCCCTTTCTGAATGTCCTGTATTGCACGTCAATGGAAGTGTGAAATAAGGGGAAGTGGAATGTTACATTTAAAGTGACACTAAACTCAGGCGTTAAAGCTTAAAAATACATTCAAGTACCTTAACTATTAAGAAAAGTGTATCTTATTTGTGTATCACTCAGCTGTAGAGCCTCAAATCATCTCTGAATTGGTGCTGACACTTTCTTTGTTTCTGGAGGGTGGCTACTTTTGTTCCCCCATGATCCCTGTGTGTCTCAGACTGAATCTGACTGTTACATGAAAATAGAAATTTAGTGCAAAATGAGGAGAATGTCTGACCTTAGATATTCCATAATTGATTTTACTTCTGCCTCGAGTGAAGAGAATGTCTGTCTGATCTTAGATGTTTCATAGTTCTCATTATTTAAAAACAAATTGATTTTCCTTGTGTCTCGAGTGGTTCTTTAACCCAGCCTAATTTTGCACATCTATCTAAAGTCTGAGCTCTATAATGTTCCTTTATCAGGATCTTCTTCTTGCCCATTGCTATGGAAGTTTCACTGTGTATTGTCTGTGGTTTTAGTTACATGCTTTGATATCTCGTATTTCTTCTTGCAGTGGTTTTGTTGTCACGCTTCTGTTTGGGAAAATAAACTCTGAAAAGTACCTTGAGAGGTGTGAGCACTCCTTTCTACCTCCGAGCTCGGCTGGAATCCCCCGGGTAAGATTCATTCCATTAACTCTGTTCGTTTTACATGCCTTAGTGTAATCTTCCTATTTACCTACATGTTCACTGGCACACAAGACACAGCTCTTCAATCAACAAGGAGTGATCCCTCATAGCTTTCCTATCAGTTTCCCTCTATTAGGTCAGAGACCTTGGATCTGTTGATTTAGTGTGAATAGCCCTTTCATGACCGAGGCCTTTTTTTCATTGTTTACATGATATAATCCACATTTTAGGCCTGAAAATTACTTCAAATCCCCAAACATTATATATTTTCTGAAAGCCAAGACCCTATAGAATAAAATGGTGGCAGTTGCAAATTTTTATATTGCACGATATTGGCGCAACTCCTTATCAAATATCCAAATTTAGTGCAAAATGCCACAAAACGAGTCAATATATACCCAACATGCCCAGGTTAAAAATTGTGTGCGTCCATGAAACTGCGACAAAATTCAGTACCCCAAAAAGTCCATAGAAAACGCTTTTAAAAGTCTTTTCATACGTAGGCGTACCCGACGTGTTTTTAAATGAAGACGCTCGGGCTCGCGGGGGACTTTAAAATTATTTTTTTTTTAACATTTATTTAATTTAAACTGCTTTTTTTTTTTTTTCTTTTTTACTTTTCTTTAATTGCTCTTACATAGGGGTTCTTACAAGTCCCCCATGTGATAGCAGATTAGTGGTGACAGGTCCTCTTTAAGGTGATACTGGTGGTCCAAAAGACCCCTAGTATCACATTTACACTTGAAATAAGCTATTGAAGTGCAGATCGCACTTCAATGGCTTATTTTACTGCGCTTCAGGAGCCAGCACTGACAGCTAAAAAAGTGAAGTGATGTAATCTGCCTGTTTACTGGCCCAAAGAAGCGACAGAATGACTATAGTCACTATGTCGCCCAGAAGAAGGGACCCTGCATGGCCCCCGAAACGTCGGCTGTATAATGCATGTGACAATTTAATAAAAAGTGCTTTAGTTCTTGCACACATCATCGAGTGCTGGTGACTTCTATTATGGACTGTGTTATAGAAAAGCACATGCACCTTTTTAGTGTGAAGCTGTGCAGACTTCCACATTATGTCAAAAGCTCTCATTACCTTTTTGGACTTTACTTCTGCTTTAACCCCTTCATGACTGAGCTTGTTTTTGGTTTCTGTTCGTAAATGACTGACACACTTTTGAAATTTTTGCTGTGTGATTCTTCCACGTCAGTAATATACTTTCTTACAAAGTGCACCCACACATATTATATATTGTTTTTTAGAGGACAGATAGGGCTATATATTTATATCACATATGTGTGTCTAACGCCTCACTTAGGACAAATACAAATTAAAAAAAGAGGAAAAAACGTAAAAAAAAACTTTTTTTCCCAGTTTTGATTTGTAGTATTTTTTTTTAACAAAACCAGCACAGCTAAAAAAAAAATGCAATACATACATTCATTTATTTGTCCCTTATTTTTAATTTTTTTACACTTTTCACTATTTTTTATACTGACAAATGTTATTTATTTAATTATATCAGGCAGTCATTGTGAATTAATCTCACTATTACTGCTTGATAAATTAATACATTTTTTTTTATTATCAGGCTGCTTCAAACTTCAGAACAGCCGATAATAAGTTAGTGACACTGATCCTGCAGCAGTTCAGGATTCAGCTGTCAGTGAATGTTTCAGAAAACTTAAACATTCTACTTTCAAGAATAGATACATTATGTGTCTAATACATAACATTTTGTATCTATTCTTGAAAGTCAAAAGATAAAAAAAAAAAAAGCCAGTATAGCTTGAGAGAGATATCTCTCGATCTATACGAGCTGTCAGAATGCCGGCAAAAGCCGACATGTGTGTCTGCTTTGCTGTGACTCTCAGACACCCGATATTAAGGTATCGGGTGTCTGAAAAAGGTTAACCCTTTCAGTAATGGATCTCTAGATAGTTAGACATCTATTACTGAAAGGTAACCGCTGATTCTCAGCGGTTAGCAGCCTTCTAGTGCAGCAAATAACTCGTCACGTACAGTGTACGTGACGAGTCATTTGGTCCCTTTGTGGCTGGACGTACAGTGTACGTCTCCCGTCACGAAGGGGTTAAGGAAACACTGGAGATGGTGCTGTGCTGCGTAATGTAAATCCATTTTGTGGAGCTGTTGGGCGCAAGGCTCAAATGTGAAACAAAATCATTTTTTAAAGGCAGGGGATTGAATATGTGACTTTGCTCTACAGGTATTTACTCCGTGGGCAAGTCTGCATTAAACAGATCTATTCTTGATAGTTATTTTAATAATGGTATTGTTACAATAAAAACATATTTCTGCAGCATTAAAGTCTGCCCAGGAAAAGCTGCATTATAATGCGGCAGTGAGATGAGACATTTTGTTCTAGCTGTGGCTCACGGTCACGTAGCAGATAATGAATGGCTGACTTGCCTGTGTGACCTCTCCGTGCCAGGTAATATGACGGGTGTGTTTATTATACCACGGTCATGCACCAGTTCACCTCGGTAGCCTGCATGATCCATTTGAGTTGTGCAGTGGAGGACTGCCAGAGTCCTGGGCTTGGGCCAACTTTAATGAAATCAATTCCACTGATAAGAGCGAGGAAAGTGCTGTTTGTGGTTTTATTTGAGCAGCATATTCAATAGCGTTGTACGGGAAATGCAAGGAAACACAGAGGAACTCACTTTACTGTCACCAGGCTGAATGGAAAGTAGTGCAGATGAAGTTTTTTACTTCAACATGCAGTTTCCTTTCTATACATTTTTCCAGTTCAGGTTCCAAAATTACATTAGAAAGTTGGCCTGAGTCTCCTTTCATACCAGAGCGCATATTTGTTTAATCCAGCATTACTCAAATAATGACCTAAAACCCGGGTTGTCACTGCCTGTCTGAGGAAGGAGTCCTTGGTGGCCCTAAAACATCACTTTCTCCAATGGCTTTTTGATGGTGTGCCGATGATACCTCTGTGTTCGGCCCTCATATACCAGAAGCGCCAGTAGATGTCCGGCATACACTAATCTTTTATCCATGACCATCATTAGCGTTTTGTGTGCATTGTGGTGCAGTTTTGGTGTTTTTGTTCTCGACTAATCTTAATTAAAATGTATGCACTAATGCCCCTGGCTTATAAACCTATTCCTAACTATCCGCCTGAGCTTATCAATTAAGCCTATTTCTTAACCTAGACATTAGCACCTATTCACATCTGTGCGTTGCACTATGCATGCATTAGTGCAAGTGTCAAACACAAGCCCAGTGGGCTGAATCCGTCCCGCCAGGTCATTTCATGTGGCCCTCGCACCTCTCCTGTAGCTTAAAATTTTAAACCAAAGCCAGCACTGTAAACAGGCACCAGGCTTCATGCTAAGGTCCCCAGCAAGGTCCTTGCATCCTTCATGTGAATCAAGGTGCCTGTATACAGTGTCGGCCAAAAATCTCCTCCTTCCTGTGGATCCACACCACTCGCACCCGCCGAGACTGACTAGGACCCCTGGTGAAGATTGCACAGCCACCTGAGAGTTTGCACAGACCACCATAGAACCTGCACAGCCCACCTGGGAGTCCGCACAGCCTAGCATAGACCCTGCACAGCCCACCTGAAAGTCCGCACATCCAACCATAGATCCTGCACAGCCCACCATAGGACCTGCAAAGCCACCTGAGAGCCCGCACAGCCCACCATAGAACCTGCATAGCCCACCTGAGAGTCCACACATCCCACCATAGAACCTGCACAGCCACCTGAAAGTCTGCGCTATTACACTAATTGCCATTATTTTTCCTAGACTTCTACTTCCAGGGCCAGTTATTAAGTTATTACTAAAAACCAATAATAATCAGGTGCGGAGACAATTATTTCATATGATAAAGAGTAGATACATTTATATAGTCTTACAAATACAACTGGCCCTTTGAGGGCAAACATAATGCTGATGCGGCCCAGGATGAAATTAAAGTTCCCATGTGAAATCATGCACTGTGTGTGCATGATTTCATCGGTGGCGGTTGTAAGGACAGTAACAATTTAATCTCAGGTCCCTGTAGAGGACATGTGGACACAGTTTAAGGTTAGAGGAAAGGAGTGTGTTCTTATGCTGGTTCTGAGGCTGTGAATGCTAGTGACTAGCTCCTTCTGTATACACACAGCCTCAAAAGCAGAGGGTCATAAAAATAATCTAAGCACTGTATGGGGTACTAGGAACCTGCCTGGCTCCTTTTTAATAGATGTGGGCCGTGTACAGCACTGCCTGGTAGTAACCTTCCCTGTATGGTCACTGTACAGTACAATTTTTCATTGTCTGTCATTGTTCATTCTTTAGCTCTTTTCAATGTTGGCTTTAAGATGGAGGTATGGACCAATAATCAGGAAATGTTCTTTTCAAGATCATTATCTTTTTATATTTTTACAAATATGCACATCAATGTATGGCTTCCCTTTTGCCTAATAAGGCATTCTAGATTTTGTAGTTCCACCACAGCTACCATTGGGATGTTATAGTATGTGAGCCGCTAGTTTGTGATATACTGTATATGGGTATTTCTCATGATGTCCCAATTCCTTAACAGGTCATTTTTGCTTGCACAAGAATCTGCTACTTTTTCACATTTACTTGCTTCTTTTGTATTGCTATTGCTCATCTGAAGTTGGTCAGTGTCATTTGTCTGATTCGTTTGTTTTGTTTGACAGTGCTTGGAGGAAATGAAACGGGAAGCTAAAACCATCAAAATTGACAGAAGAGTCACAGGTGCCAATATGATTGATGAGCCCCTGCAGCAAGTAAGTGTCTATGCAGCTTGTTTATTTCATGGCTTCCCATGGTCAATGCAATATATCTTCATCTTACCTATTGATCAATGAATCTTGTTTTCCTAGAAGGGAACAATGAAAATATTCAGATAAGATGACTTAAAGCATATGTAAACCCAACAAATAATTGTAATATATTGCAGGTTACCAATCCTGACATGCAGTAACACACTTCCTGTCTCAAGGTGGCTCCTCTCTATGGAGGAAACAATGGAGCCACCCTTGGACAGCAGCATTATCAACCTGTGGAGGGGGTGGTGTTATATGCGCTAGCAGATTTAGATAGAATTGACTAACAAATTAAAGCCAGGATTTTTTAAGCCGATATAGCAACAGTCTTCACATTCCGTGAAGGCGCGTTACATGTGGATGCTTTGACGCATGTTCACTTTTTTTAATGGTGCCACAGATGTGGCTGGGATAACGTGTGGATTTTCCCACGCGAGGACACACGTTTAAAACTGGCACAAGCGAGCGGAGAAAAAAACAAACAAACCACAGTGCGCCTGTAGCAAAATCTTCTACATGAGCTACTTTCCCTGATTTGTCACGTGTGGGAAAAAAGGTGCACTAATGCGACGTGGGTTCCCGGTATGCTGGGTGTGAGCGGGGCTTTAAAGTGACATTAAACCCTTGCGCTTTTTTTTTGCATATATCTACTGCTAGCAAGCAGTAGATATATGCAAAAATATATATATATTTTTTTAAAGTTCCGAAATAGGATTTGAGCTTACCTGTGTCTCCGCCGCGCACTCGAAGATTCTTGGGCGGCCGCAAAGGATAATTGGGCGAGCGCATGCGCAGTAGAGATCTTCGACCGGGAGAAGAGGAGAGACACTGGTAAGCCAATGCAGGCAGCATGCACCCGCACAGACTGTGGGACAGGAAGAGACATGAGTCGGCGCTGGATCCGAGACCCGCCCCAGCGCTGGAGGGACTCCTGAAAATGACAGGAAAGAAGAAGAAGATGATCGGATCAAGAGGCATCATTTAAGGTAAGTCCTTACACCAGCATGGTGGGGGAGGAAAAAGAAATGATGCTGGCGACGTACACTGTACGTCGTCAGTCACGAAGGGGTTAAGGGTTGTAAGGCCTCGTTCACACCAGGTGCAGTGCGTACCGTCCCGATTCTGGCCAGAACACACTACCTCGCATTGCGGCCGGCTCACTTTTATATGGGGCAAGAGGGGGCAAGCACTATTTTGTTCGGACCGGACCGCAGGCATAATGTGCCTTGCGATCCCATGCGGCCGATCGCATTGCGACCGGAGGGTGCGGCTACGGTGCCATTCACTTCAATGGCCCGCCACGCCCCCTCCTGCCCCACAAAAATGTGAGCCAGCCGCAATGCGAGGCAGTGCGTTCTGGCCAGAATCGAGCCGGAACACACTGCATCTGGTGTGAATGAGGCCTTAAGCTGCAGTATATCATATTTTTAAATTTAAATACGCTTTAGTCCTCATGCACACTACACTGAAACAATGAGTTCAGGTGCATTTGGAGCTCATTTCTAAACACACTTGAACTCGTTTAATCCTTTTCTATGATTTGAATGCACACCTAGATGTCCAGCAGCGTCTCGGTGCATTCAGTCTAGAAGCATTTACCAAAAGTAGAAATTTCTGCATTCCGGGTCCGATTAGCCCGCTTTTATGCAACTAAACACGTGTAAACACGACTAAGCCCACCAACAACTAAACACAGGAAAAAGTAATCCAGGAAGAAGAAAGTTGTTTATTCTTACCAGACAACTTCTTTTCTGGTTTAACTCAGCTGGCTAGTGTGTATGAGGCTTTAAAGTAAACCAATCACAAAAAGAATATGGGCGTTACCATTGCTGACCTCCTTTTGACAATACTAGTTGCCAGACTGTGATGAGAACGTCTAATTTCATTATATTTTCTATGTCACAGACCTGGAACAAGTATTCAGATCATTAAAGTAAGAGAGAAGTCACGGTTTATAATCTCTATCAGTAAATAAAAGCTCTAAGAGCTCTTGAGAGGAGTGCTGTAATGGTTTCAGGAAGCTATTTACAGCACTCTACCAGCACATCCCACCAGCCATGATCTGCCTACATTGCGTAGAGTAGCATAGAGACCTAGTGATGACATCACTGGGTCTAAAATAAGGTATGTAATGGAATAAAAAAAATGAGGGCTGCCTCTCATGACATCTTTGTGAAAATGCTACTTGCCTGTTTTTTTTGCTAACCCTTTGCTCTAAATACGATGAGCCACCAACCCAGAAGAAATAGGAGAATGAGGAAAGTCCTAAAACAGCCAGAAGTCATTTGTCTTGCTCTAGATCAGTGACTTGGTTTTGAAGAAAGGGGTTCATCATGACTGCCAAAGGACTAGTATTTTCAGAAGCAGTGCTCAGCCTCCATGTCTCTCTCATGACAGGTTTATTACCGAAGCTCTGTTTTTCGCAAGCACTCTATCAAATAGACCTGCTGTTAAAATAGGTAGGAGGAAGTGAGAACAGAGGGAGACGATAACAAGGAAGCAGAGAATTACAGCCTACGGAGGACACAAAAACAGGAATGCATAATCAGCGTCTAGGAAATGTTTTCCGTCTTCTTAAAGCTGTAATATTTTTCCTTACAGTTTTATAGGTAAAATGGACTAATAGGTTAATTCACTCACTGGAATCTTAATTCCGGGGTTTCAATAGCTGAAAAAAGTGGTCTTGCTCCTCCTGCAGCAAAAACAAAGCCAACATTTAGAATCAAATCCTGTTGTAATGAGGTGAAAGAGGTATAGATTCTGAGAATACCTATCAATAATCAATGGACAGCAATCCATTTTACGGTTGGATCTGACAGTAAAGGAAAGTAAAGTTAACCAATATGGGTCCTTTAAAACTATAAGCCTTTATTTAATGGGAGCACGTTATTTTTGTTCCCCCCTGACTTCCTGCTGGGTCTTTCTAGCGCAAGTCTGGGTGACATATTGGGAAATAATGGATGTAGGTCAGAACGTAAATCATTAGTAGAAACAGTGTTGTGTAGACTTCAGAAAAGTTTAATGCCTTGTCCACACCAAATGCAAAGCAGATCTGGTCAGGTTTCTGCACACGCAGTGCAGTGGGTTGTGCCGCGTTTTTGATGCGTTTTTGCCGCATTTTTTATGTGTTCCGGGCCGTTTTTGGGCTTTCAGGCACTTGCATGCGTTTTTGATGCGTTCCCGAGCAGATCCAGAGCAGGTAAAATAGGGCTTGCCGCAGTTTTTTCACCTGCTCTGGATCTGCACGCTACGATGTGAACTGGAGCTCAAAATACCATAGGAATACATTGGACGCAGTTTTGATCCGGTCTGCACCTGCTCTGCTCTGGATCTGCTCCGCGCTTGGTGTGAACAAGCCCTTAAGAGAATGTTTAGCAAAATAGAAAGAAATTTGCAGGTGCAGAAAAAATATCTGTTGATCTGTCAGAAATCCAGTGTGCTCTAAGGGTGACCATACACGTTACAATCTGACCTTACAGTCTCTGTACAATAAACTTTAGGTCTACCAAAACTATGCAATATGAGGACCTACCTAAGCTATACAATCAGATCCTATCAGACATGCCCTTGCAGTACATAGTTGTTGGTAGATCGAAAGGAGAAATCCGATTGTAACGTGTGGTGGGCTTAAAGTGACATTAAAGCTTCACAGATCTTTAAAAAATGTGTGTAACTAGATAAAGGAGGATCCTACAGGATCTCACACAGGCCGCAACTTACAAAAGTTTGTGAATCTGGGCACGGGAGCGCACGCTAAAAGGCAACTCCATTGGAAGCAGCAAAAGAATGGAGCCACCTTCCGAACGAAAGCCATCTGCAGCACTGGGGGGAAAAGGAATAATAAAAGAAAGAGACAATCTGCAGACCACACGGAGCATCTCAGGCAGTAAGATTTATTTAGTATCATTATTTTGTAAAAATTCTGTGAAACTTTAATGTCACTTTTAAAGTAGTGATAAGCTCTCAAACTTTTTTTCATTAATTAATCCCACTCAAACAAATATACATTGCACAGCAAAGTACTGTATTTCTTTAAAGGTTTGCCCAAACACGTAGTCACTATGTTTCTAAAGAGCTGGCTCCAAATCTCTCTGCTCAACTTCCCTGTACTCCCTGTCCAGTACAAGATCCCGAGGGACAGCCCAGTCTCCAGCAGCTGTCCATCTACTAGTTTGGAGAAGGGAGGAGAGGAGTGACTTGCTGTGCTGTGTTGTCTGTGTATTTGTGGAGACACACACAGCTTACTAGCACACACAAGGGTATCTCTATAGGACACAGGAGCAGCCTCCATTGTAAGTGATTTCATCAGCATTTGAAAAAGCTTAAAAAAAAGTTTGACTTTAAAATCAATTTAACTTTCTGTTTGGGCTGACAACCGAGTACACGTACTGCACTGAAATCCCAAATAGTCTGAAAAACAATTCAAATTGTCATGGGTGGAAATGACTGCACCCATGTGCCTTCTTTTATGGAAACGACCATATAAAAAAAAAAATCAAGCCCAAATTTTAAGATGAATAGAATGAGGGGAATTTATCAAAACTGGTGCAGAAGAATCTGGTGCAGAACCAATCAGCTTCTCTCTTCAGTCTGTTAAGTTAAGATTTAAAAATGAAAGCGAGAAGCTGATTGGTTGCCATGCACAGCTACTCGAGATTCTTCTGCTCCAGTTTTGTTGAATTCCCCTCCGCATGTTTTGGAGAAATATCTCGGTAAATGACACGTAGATTTTAGTGAATTATATACTCAAGAGTTAAATAACGCATGATTTATTTTACCTCAGAATTTCATGAGGTATTAAGCTCTTAGTGGCTTGAGCTCTGTGCCCCACGTCACATGCATTCACTAAGACTAAAAATGCACAACTCACCCCTGTCATGCATCCTTGTAATCCACATTTGGTGCACGGATGACCCTCTTCTGGAGTAATTGTCTCAAACAGCAAAACCAGCACACAATGCTCTACCACAGAGAATCAAATCTTATACAAAATCATTGTGCATCGTGTGCTGGTTTTGCCGTTTTTGTCACATGCATACATTGATTTATTTCCATGCCACGCAGTGCTGCTCCCTTTACCCCCTAGAGCAGGGATGTCCAAACTGGGCTCTCCAGCTGTGGTGGAGCTACGAATCCCATGAGGCTTTGCAAGATTCTCACAGCTACAGACATGACTCCCGGAGAGAAATGCTTCATGGGATTTGTAGTTTCACCACAGCTGGAGGGACGGAGTTTGGACATCCCTGCCCTAGAGCCTTCCCACACACGGATTTAATAAATGCCAACAGGTGGTGCACTTTTCAAGGCATTTAGCTTAGTGAATGTGGTGAAACTACCATTTGCAAAGAATATCCAATCACATGCAAGGAAATTGAACAGCATTTTTGCATGCACATGATTGGATGGTGGGAGTCACCTCATTGACTAAGCTAAGGGAAAAGAAGAGCGTCACCTCATTCACTAAACTAAGGGAAAAGCAGATCTTCACCTCATTCACTAAGCTAAGGGAAAAGCAGAGCTTCACCTCATTCACTAAGCTAAGGGAAAAGTAGAGCTTCACCTCATTCACTAAGCTAAGGGAGAAGCAGAGCTTCACCTCACTCACTAAGCTAGGGGAGAAGCAGAGCTTCACTTCATTCACTAAGCTAAGGAAAAGTAGTGCTTCACCTCATTCACTAAGCTAAGGGAAAAGCAGAGCTTCACCTCATTCACTAAGCTAAGGGAAAAGCAGAGCTTCACCTCATTCACTAAACTTAGGGAAAAGCAGATCTTCACCTCATTCACTAAGCTAAGGGAAAAGCAGAGTTTCACCTCATTCACTAAGCTTAGGGAAAAGCAGAGTTACACCTCATTCACTAAGCTTAGGGAAAAGCAGAGTTACACCTCATTCACTAAGCTTAGGGAAAAGTAGTGCTTCATTTATTTACTAAGCGAAGGTAAAAGCAGAGCTTCACCTCTCTGGTTAGGCTAAGGAAGAAGCCAGGCTTCACCTCATTTACTAAGCTAAAGGGGATGCAGCACTTCACCTCATTCACCAAGCTAAGGGAAAAGTACAGCTGTATATCATTCACTAAGCTAAGGGAGAAGCAGAGCTTCATCTCATTCAATTAAGCTAAGGGAGAAGCAGAGCTTCACCTCATTCACTAAGTAATTGTCATGGGTGGAAATGACTGCACCCATGTGCCTTCTTTTATGGAAACGACCATATAAAAAAAAAAATCAAGCCCAAATTTTAAGATGAATAGAATGAGGGGAATTTATCAAAACTGGTGCAGAAGAATCTGGTGCAGAACCAATCAGCTTCTCTCTTCAGTCTGTTAAGTTAAGATTTAAAAATGAAAGCGAGAAGCTGATTGGTTGCCATGCACAGCTACTCGAGATTCTTCTGCTCCAGTTTTGTTGAATTCCCCTCCGCATGTTTTGGAGAAATATCTCGGTAAATGACACGTAGATTTTAGTGAATTATATACTCAAGAGTTAAATAACGCATGATTTATTTTACCTCAGAATTTCATGAGGTATTAAGCTCTTAGTGGCTTGAGCTCTGTGCCCCACGTCACATGCATTCACTAAGACTAAAAATGCACAACTCACCCCTGTCATGCATCCTTGTAATCCACATTTGGTGCACGGATGACCCTCTTCTGGAGTAATTGTCTCAAACAGCAAAACCAGCACACAATGCTCTACCACAGAGAATCAAATCTTATACAAAATCATTGTGCATCGTGTGCTGGTTTTGCCGTTTTTGTCACATGCATACATTGATTTATTTCCATGCCACGCAGTGCTGCTCCCTTTACCCCCTAGAGCAGGGATGTCCAAACTGGGCTCTCCAGCTGTGGTGGAGCTACGAATCCCATGAGGCTTTGCAAGATTCTCACAGCTACAGACATGACTCCCGGAGAGAAATGCTTCATGGGATTTGTAGTTTCACCACAGCTGGAGGGACGGAGTTTGGACATCCCTGCCCTAGAGCCTTCCCACACACGGATTTAATAAATGCCAACAGGTGGTGCACTTTTCAAGGCATTTAGCTTAGTGAATGTGGTGAAACTACCACTAGCAAAGAATATCCAATCACATGCAAGGAAATTGAACAGCATTTTTGCATGCACATGATTGGATGGTGGGAGTCACCTCATTGACTAAGCTAAGGGAAAAGAAGAGCGTCACCTCATTCACTAAACTAAGGGAAAAGCAGAGCTTCACCTCATTCACTAAGCTAAGGGAAAAGTAGAGCTTCACCTCATTCACTAAGCTAAGGGAAAAGTAGAGCTTCACCTCATTCACTAAGCTAAGGGAGAAGCAGAGCTTCACCTCACTCACTAAGCTAGGGGAGAAGCAGAGCTTCACTTCATTCACTAAGCTAAGGAAAAGTAGTGCTTCACCTCATTCACTAAGCTAAGGGAAAAGCAGAGCTTCACCTCATTCACTAAGCTAAGGGAAAAGTAGAGCTTCACCTCATTCACTAAGCTAAGGGAAAAGTAGAGCTTCACCTCATTCACTAAGCTAAGGGAGAAGCAGAGCTTCACCTCACTCACTAAGCTAGGGGAGAAGCAGAGCTTCACTTCATTCACTAAGCTAAGGAAAAGTAGTGCTTCACCTCATTCACTAAGCTAAGGGAAAAGCAGAGCTTCACCTCATTCACTAAACTTAGGGAAAAGCAGATCTTCACCTCATTCACTAAGCTAAGGGAAAAGCAGAGTTTCACCTCATTCACTAAGCTTAGGGAAAAGCAGAGTTACACCTCATTCACTAAGCTTAGGGAAAAGCAGAGTTACACCTCATTCACTAAGCTTAGGGAAAAGTAGTGCTTCATTTATTTACTAAGCGAAGGTAAAAGCAGAGCTTCACCTCTCTGGTTAGGCTAAGGAAGAAGCCAGGCTTCACCTCATTTACTAAGCTAAAGGGGATGCAGCACTTCACCTCATTCACCAAGCTAAGGGAAAAGTACAGCTGTATATCATTCACTAAGCTAAGGGAGAAGCAGAGCTTCATCTCATTCAATTAAGCTAAGGGAGAAGCAGAGCTTCACCTCATTCACTAAGCTAAGCGAGAAGCAGGACATCATCTCATTCACCAAGCTAAGGGAAAAGTACAGCTGTATATCATTCACTAAGCTAAGGGAGAAGCAGGACTTCATCTCATTCACAGGGAGTAATAACATTTACAGAAACAAGAACATTTCCTATTGAAATTCTTTTAAGGCTACATGTGTCATTTTTAATTATCGGCTAGAATTCTAGCTCCCAATTTACAACACCTCTCTTTGTAATGTGATTTCATCCAAAGACATTAACAGCTGGGGGTTGCATGTCATGCTAACAAGTGATAGAGATAATCATGTGGCTCTAGCATGCCTGAAGCGGCCTCCCACTGCACGATATCTAATGCAGCGAACAATGGATGGAGGTTTCTTGTTATGGCTGTACAAACACAACACATAAAATGATTGGAAGATGAATACGTGATATAAAAAGAAGCAATAGGAGTGAGGGCACTGCCTGTACGAGTTTACCGTTTTATGTCCACATTCTATCATGCTTTTTTATTTTTACCTTGGAGACTCAGAATTGTTCTTCTTTTTGGTTTCTAGGTAATACAGTTTTCCTTGAGGGACTACGTCCAATATTGGTATTACACGCTCAGCGAGGATGAATCATTTCTCCTTGAAATCAGGCAAACAGTTCAGAATGCACTTGTTCAATTTTCCACTCGGTAAGTAAATATTCAGTAACCCCCGTCTCATTCCGTCTTGTGTAAACTATGTTGTGTATAGTTCATGTTTGTGTTTCAGAACTGCAGCTGTAGAAACAAACTTTGTATAAGTTAACTACAGATCCGTGTTAAAGCGGACGTTCACCCTGAAAAAACATGTGCTCCCCTTTTTCATTGTACCCAGTGGGTGTTTCCTGGATAGGATTATCAGGTCACTGACTGTGCTTAGAGCTGCTCTTTAATTCAGTGCAATCATTTCCAATTTTTAGGTCGTGTTTGAATAAAATATATTATAACACAACCTGAAGAGTATTGACCTGTACTGATGACATCACTTTGGCCCCTGTTCACACTAGTGCGATTTGTCTCGCATCTGCCATCACAATGCACAACAATGGAAAGCCCATTATTCTCTATGGGGCCTATTCACATGTATTCAACATGATGCAGTGCGATTTTTGAACAGGTTCAGGTGCTTCTCTTGGTGCTATACAATGTGATGAGTTTTATTTTTAGTCCTATTGACTTCAGTGGAAGCACATGAAAAATGCATGCAATGTGCATTTTTGTGCATTTCAGTGCATGACAACAATGCCCCACCCTCCTAGCAAGCTCTACCTTTATTTCATCTTCAGTTCTCCTTCAGGTCCTCCTCTGTCGATTGACAGCAGGCAATGGGCGGGTGCAATAGCCAGTCTGCTATGGTCTATTGCAATTTAAAATAACCAACAGCAGGCTGGCTGTTGCTCCCAGCCACTGAATAAGAAACATAACACTGGCTTTATACCGCCGGCAGAAGAGGGGGCATGGGGGGAAGCAGAGGAGGATCGGGGGCAGCAGACTAGGATCGCGGGCATGGCAGCAGACTAGTATTGTGTGCATTGCAGCAGACGAGGATCGCGGGCACGGCAGCAGACGAGGATCGCGGGCATGGCAGCAGAGGAGGATTGCGGGCACGCCAGCAGAGGAGGATTGTGGCCACTGATGGGAAGAAACAGAGGTCTAGCGGGGTAACAATCAACTAATCGCAGAATCAACTATTTCTTATTATTATCGATTTTATCGATTAGTTTTAGCCCTACTTGGAGGCCAAGCGAGTGGAGTTTTTTGTGGAGCGGTGGATAGTCAACTCTGTCAAAAGCACCACAAAGGTCAAATAGCAAGAGTAAGGAGTAGTGGCCATTGTTTTTTGCTGTTAGTAAGTCATTAGTGAGTTTTAGGATGGCACTTTCCATGAAGTGTTGGGGGAAAAAGCCAGATTGTAAGGGGTCGAGGAGGTTTTCATCAGTGAGGTGGTGGCTCATGCGGTTGTAGATAAGGTGTTCTAAGTTCAGTGACCTGTATTAGACTTGAGGACCCACGAGGGACATTCTAGTGCCGACCGCCACGGGACTGAGGATCAGTCGAGTAAAACTTCTTTCGTCAGCCCCTTAGACGAAAACGAACACTTGTACATTGCAGGTTGTAGACCCACTGCAAGGGTTTTTTTTATTTTCCTGGAGTTCTTCTTTAAATCTGGTTTCCATGCAAGCCACTAAATACACAGTTAGAATACATATGAAAGTGCTGCCTTACCTGCCAAAAGATTTGCATTCCTGTCCATCCAGTACAGTAATATAAATCTGAGATTTGCATAGCCCAGCCATGTAGCAGAGTCCTGTCTAGCAGCAGCAACCTGTTTTTTCTCTACGTCTGTAGAGGAATGTTTACCGTTTTTTTTTTTAGTGTTTTGTATTGTTGTAAGCCTTCGCGTGTGCACCCTGCTACAAAGGCTGGTTATAAATGTATGCGTTTACCATCTTTTTCCATCTTTTCCTGTTTACAGTTCTTGTCCCTCCTCCAGCATGTGACTGGACAGTGAAAGAGGAAGCAGCAGACTGATGAGGTCAATCTGCTCTCGCCTCTTTAAACATGTTTTTTGTTAGCATATGAGTACTGCAGTAAAACTGATTTGCTCCTAGTGCTGCTTCTCTCTCTCCTAGTCTGTGCTTTGCTGTATAGGGAATTGTAGGAAGCAAATACCAAATCAAAACCAGGTATTTGCTCTGGTTACATTTGAAAATAATTTATTTAATGATGTATTAATTTATGTAATTTATATCTGCCTGGAATTCAGGTTTAATCATATTTATCACAGAGAAGTTATTTTGTACAAAGATACTTTGAAGAACATGCTAAAAAAAAATCTCATCTCTGTATAAGGTCAAAAGAAGTGGACTGGCAGCCTTATTTTACCACCCGGTTAGTAGATGACTTTGCCACGCATCTCCGAGCATTCAGGAAAGCTCAGCACAGAATGGCAGAATGGAAAGAGGATCAAAAGAAAGGTAATGCTGGAATCAGGAAATAATGTGACTTTCAACTGTTTACAGCTACATCAAAGTAATTGTTTCCTGCCTCAAGAAAACAGAAGGAAATCGGCGCTGTAATTAAGAAAACAGGCTGTCCTTGGTCAGTGCTTGCAGTGTTCGTACAATGAATATTTCCATAACATCTGCCACAGTCCTCAAGCCATGCACTACATGGCATAGATCAAATCTGTTAAAGTGTGTGTCTGGGCAGTATAATAAAAAAGGAATATCAAATGCAAATTTCCCCATGTGAAATGCCTTTAAACACCCTTGCAAGTACAGAAGAATTACTGTTAATCCAGCCGGAAATCCAGTGAACTCCTAACTTCCCTTGCCTCTACTCCATACTATCCCTAGCAGTGCCTTCAGCCCTGCCTAGTTCTCTTCTTCGCAGCCACCTATGTTATGAAGCTGAGGAGAGGGGGAGATGTTCTGGAGTCCAGCAAAACAGAACTAGGCAGGGCTGACGGCACCCCTGGAGATTGCAGTGCAGCAGAGGCAGAGTGTTCGCTTGAATAGGAAGTTAGGAGCTCACTGAATTTCTGGAAGATTAACAGGTATTTTTCTGTACTTGCAATTTTTTTAATGAGCCAAAACATGAGAGAGGTACAGTTTGTGATTTTTTGTTTTGTTACCTAAACCCTAGACTTTAACGGTAGACCTAATTCCGCTTACCTTCCAGTACCTTTAAAGCACAGGTCAGATGAGTTTTCTAGTTTAGAGATTTATTGTTCATAACAATGGCTACTTTTGGATATCTTATACTCTTAGGTGGTTTAGCTATCATGCACTAAACTTTATCAGACAACTAGACCATGACAGACTGTTCCTGATCATGTGGATATGGAATGGGGATAAACCGCATTAACAAATGCAGCTGGCATTGCTTATCTCTACTTCAGATGGTTGAACAAGTGGGGCGAGATAGCTGGTAAAACCAGAAAAAAATAGACATTTGATTGATGCTAGTAGTGGCCAGATCAAATGGCTGTCCTCTCATGTCTTTGGGTGCTTTTTTAATGGTAGAGTACCATACTCTTCTCTTACAACTATGTTTGGAGACTTCTAAGATAAAGATGAGGAAAGTCCACATTTGAGGTGTACTGCAAATCAACTGATACGTCAGACCAGATCTTCCTTTTTTAAGTTTTGTTTAGTTGAAATTAAATGAGAACTTCAAGCAGAAGCAAAACAAAGGGCAGTTCCTCCTTCACATCAGAGTCTCCCTAACATCAAAGCCCCCATTCACATCATAGCCCCCCTCTTTCACATCAAGAGCCCTCTTCACAGCAGAAGCATGACTTTGTGTGAAAATTTTGAGGCACCCCTGACAAAGTCAAAAGGCACAAAAGAAATAAGAGAAGGTAATCTGAGCCACGGGAAGAACATGACACCACACCCCTAAATATACATGTAAATCAACCAAAAAGAGAATGGGGCCTTCACTCTAGGCATGAAAAACACACTCCAATGCAAATACATCTCTTTTAAAATTAGATTATGGAACACCATAAAAGCATAAATATATGCCTACTGGTATTGAATCAGCAATACCACCCTCAATACGATGTTATTTAAAAGGCATTGGGCCTCTCTGGACTCCACGATCGCATGTTTAGCATCAGCATTGTCATAAACAATATTCCGAACCTCTTTAGTCATAAATAATATTGAATCAGCATAAAATGTCACTGTAATAAACTTTCTGAGGGTATGCATTATGCAGTGTGTTTGTCATGCCTAGAGTGACACCTCAAAAGCCCAATTCTCCTCTTGGAAGTCAAAAGGCACACCAGGGTGGGAAGGGCTGCTCTGGAACACCTTTTATCAATATTGTGCTCCATGTTGTAACTCTGTGGGAGGTGAATAATGTACCAGCAAGTAAACTGATGAACTGTTTTTATATTTGGACCAGAATTTCTGAATGGACACTCAACACAAGGAAAATTCCTATGAGATGAGAGTCTTTCTGTTTTCTTTTGGGTTGTTTTTATGAGTGGGAGCTAGAGGAAAGATCTGTAAAGCACACATCCGAGTTAAAAGCTCAGTTTACTTATCCAAGGCAATGATCACATGACACACCAGATCTTGAGTGTGTCAGTGCAGAGAGGAAGGCTCCCTGTTTGGCTGTCCACCTCATTATTTGGGCGACGTGGACACTCCCTATCAGCGGTAGGGTCCTTGAAGGCTTCAGGAGTGATGACTTCCCAGGGGGTCGACTGAGCGAGTTGGACACAGATTGCATTGCTGGATCACCAGCCAGCATACCCTGGAAGCGGTGACATCGAGGGACGCAGATGGCGGACTAAAGTGAGTATAGAACAGCTTCAGAATGTAAGTGGTGTTTGGGTGAGAAGCGGGTGGTAGGAAGGTGTGATGTTGCTGGAGATTGGCTTTACCATTGTTGCCACTAGTGTTGCCTGTATTATCTGTACATATTAACTTCTTCATGATTGTGTTGAAGAAAAAACTGCAAGATGTACTTTATTAAGAGAATCCTTGATTAGTTCCTCATGTCTAGGAATTTATACATCATTATTCTGGTTTAATACACGGCTGTGTTCTGCCAGCTAAATGTTTGTAATTGTATTTCCATTTATTTAGCCCTGTTTAATTTTTTTTCACAGACCTATTTTTAGAAGCTTCCCAATCAATGCAGTATCATTGAATACATTATGAAATCTGCAGTATTATTTATGATTGCTTTCAAAGTGATTGCGATAAAAACTTTTGCATGACTCAGATATGAAGTCATATTTGCTGAACCTGCTGGCTTTTGTCAGTCTGTTAACTGGTTTCACATCTGTTGGTTCCTTCTTGTTCTTTATTTGCAGATGCAGCAGAAGACCTTGTAGAAACGTTTTTCGAGGTCGAAGTTGAAATGGAAAAAGTTGTCTGCCGAGACCTCATCTGCACATCTTCTAAAGATGAGGAAGGTTGTTCATTTTAAAAAATTGTCTGCCTTGTTGTGGGTGGAAAACTTGCGATATAGTCAAACCACCATTACAGTAGTATATTCTGTTAATTCACAGAAACGTATCACGGGCTATCATGGCCTAAAATATTTTTAAAGTAATTGTGCTGAAGTATGTGTCTATGTCAGTATCAAAATTGATCCCTTTGTCTCTGTAGAGGCCTGTTGTCCCAGGCCTAGACTGTAATTGAGACTTTGACTTCTGATCATGTTGCGATTAAGCCCAAACCCCTGTCTTTCAACTGTCAAATGCCAAAAAGTAAAGTACATTTAGGGCCCATTCACACCATATGCTGCCCTGACACAGTGCCAAAACGCTGATCGCACTGCTTTTCTTATTTTTTTTGGTACAACTTTATTGAAATGTCACAACTGACATTTCATTCAGCTCTATGGGCACAGCGGGTTGCGAGGCGGTTGTACTGCACAACATCGCCGTGCACTAACAAAAGAGTACAGCACGTTGCACTTTTTTTTTCTTTCTCTTCAGCGCTCACCACCGCACAGCCATCGCAACGTGGTGGTGTGAACCAATCCCATCCATGGCAAGGCAGATTTTCCTTGTCTTGCTTTGGGGCTATGCTGGAAATAACGGCTAGTGCAGCCCCAATGCATCTGGTGAGAATCGGCCCTTAAAGGCTTCTGTTAGACAGACTAAATAGGTCACAAATCCAGTTACTATATGATACACGTGCCTCAAAAAAAACTTATTCTCCTTCATTTGTGTCTCACGTGTTCCCTATCCCAGACGCTGCAGCTGACAGTGCTGTCAATCCAGAAAGCAGTGGGCAGGGATAGATGTTTCCAGTTGCTCATTTTACAAGCTACAGGCTTATGAATCAGCAATTGTAATGCTGATTGACTTGTTGCCTGCAATGTCTTCTCATCCCATCATAGTGCAAGTAGGTATAGCCTTTATGAAGGGGACTATGCTGCTCTAAATTCTGGAGCAGGAAGCATGGGATCTGGCATTTAACAGCTGAAAGATGGGATAGGGCTTAGTCTTGGCATGGGCAGATCCAAAGGGCTCCACAGGGACTGATTGAAACACTACAGCAATGGACACCTGCAAGGCACTCCAGGTAGTCCCCTTTGATACTTGTGGGTATGAGAGTGTAAAATAGAACATGGAGAGCATGCCGTGTTTCAGAACTGCTCAGCTTCTTGTGCACTTTACACGAGTGCCTAATACGAAGACAAATAGAGCTACTTTTTTAAAATGGTGATTATAATAAATACATACATGGGTTAAATAGGAGCCTTCTGTTCATGCCTACACTTATACTTTAACTGTTGTCCATGAAAGTCTATAAAATGTCTTTTGGCTTCCTATTTCGTCATGTCAGAAAAGATTTCTACAGTCCCTTTTATAGGCGTTAGTGTGGTATAGAAAATATAGTTTTACGGATGTTACATTTTACAATATGTGTACTTTTAGGTTTCCTGAAGGATTTATGTGAAGTTTTACTGTATTTATTGCTACCTCCTGGAGACTTCCAGAATAAGATCATGCGATACTTTGTGAGGGTAAGATTGCATATGTTATACCTCTCTTAAACATAAATGTACAGTAACTGGTGTATATACTGTGTATATAGCTGCTGTGTACAATAATGCTTTTTATCTTATTTCTTTAGGAAATCCTTTCACGAGGAATTCTTCTTCCTTTAATTAAACAGCTCAGTGATCCTGATTATATTAATCAATATATAATTTGGATGGTAAGTTTAAATACGTTGATAATAAACCACAATACTTTCTGGTAGCTTGCTGAACACAGACAATTTTACTGAACTTCTCCATCATATGACCAGGTCATCACAAAGTCAAAGCAACTATGAGGACACGCTACTGTTCTCATATCTCCACTGAATTTTTAGTATGAAGTAGTTTTGGCAAGCTAAAATGTCCTGATGTGTGCAGTTACTTCAGTGTTGTTGCTTCATTTTGGAGATCATTTCTCCTTCAAGCGTATCTAAACCCAAAAACCAAAATTTATTATATTGCAGCTTACCAGACTGAAAGTGACACTAAACTCAGTAGGTAAACCTTAAAAATGCATTCAAGTACCTTTTACTGTTAACAAAAATGTCTTATTTGTGTATCACTGGGCTGTAGATCCTCAAATCATCTCTGAATTGGTGCGGAACCTGTCCTTCCTTCAGGAGGGTGGCTACTTTTGTTCCCAATGGTCCCTGTGTGTTGTAAGCTCGCTCCTGTCATGGTCTACAATCTCACTCCTTTGTATTGAGAATGCAGTCCATCACAGGTGTGAGCTTGGAGCGGTGGCTACTTTATAGCACACACACACACGGAGAACAAAAGTAGCCACCCTCCAGAAGGAAGGACAGTGTCAGCACCAATTCAGAGATGATGTGATGCTCTACAGCTGAGTGATGCACAAATCAGATACATTTTTAATTATAGTTAGAATATTTGAATGCATTTTTAAGGTTTACCTCCTGAGTTTAGTGTCACTTTGAAGTGTACTTCCACTTTTGCAGGCAAAATTGAGAAAACCCCTCTATGTTTGTTCTGTGTTCCTATTCACACAGCTTATTTAAAAAAAACTAAAATTCTCTAAATATATCTTCCTTTTTAGATATTTTGTATTTTGCAGGCCTTTGCTAGCTCCTTTCTTTTTTAGTAACCGGAAACTCTGACTGTCCTAACACAAAGACTTTGGACAGACTGAACATCTCTTCCTTAACATACAATGAAAGAAGCCAAGCTTCTAGATCTTTAACCCTTTACTACAACAGGTGGTTAAAATGTAGTTTACAACTGATAAATGGATCTGCCAGCACAGTACAGACAGGGTTCATTATCATAAATGTTCCCTTTCCCACCCCCTTGCTTTCCAGAAGAAAATTTAGTATAGTGAAAAACATTTCTTTAAGAATTGAAGATGTTTTATGGAAGCAGCAATTTTATTTTTTAGGATGTGCTATGTGAATGAGAACATGTAACAAATATAAAATATGTGCTATCCCAATTTGGCTGCAAAAGTGCAAATACATTTTAAGATGTGGCTGCATTAGTCCTTTTTTTTCCCTTTTACTACTACTTGGTGATCATGCTAGTAACACACTGTCTTAGGGTGACAACTCGTATACTGTACCTATGAATGAGCAGTGTCACCCTAGGACAGGAAGTGTATTAGGACTGCAAAACGCCTCCCCCTCTCATTTCCATACTATCTGGGAATGGCTGGTTTTATAGCTCATCACATGTGCAGCATTATGGCAAGTGCAATCCAAATAGAGGCCAAGGTGGCACCTTCCTTGGCTGTAAGGGATAGGAGGGGGTAGTTCCGCTTTAACAGCTATAGGAAAACACTTTTAATAGTGTATTTAACATGCTATAAAGGAGCAAATCTCAATAGTTCATTGTTGGGGTTTACATACACATTCATTTCAGATATTGTCAAGTGGTGTTCTCAGCTGCCTTTCCTTACTATCTTGTTTTAATTGGCCATCCAAGTGCAGAGCTTTCCTAACAAAGGTGATATGCCACTTCCAGTGGAAAAGTGTCACATAACTATCCTCTGGAGAGTAAAGCCAGTGTGTTTTTTGATTGCAATGTATTTTTCAGATACCATTCTATCAGCTTTACTGTTGGTATAGTTTTTGTTGGTCCCCTATTCTTGTTTAGCCTTTTGTTTGCTGTAACAGTGCACTATTGAAACTGCAGACCAATATTATGTCACATGGGCAAGGCATTCTGTAGTTAAATAAGTAGTATTTCCAGTTGAGATGTTAAAAACCTTCTAGGATAGATATAGTATTTTCTTGTAAAGTGTGGTATTTCTTTTTAATGAGAACTACCTTTGGCCTACTCATTGTTTTTTTTTTCTTTTCACACAACTTGCGTATCATGGCCTTTTTGCCATTATTTCGATTGTTTGCCAGCTTTCCAACACAAATATGGACTGAGAAAGCTGTTGTAAGTTAGTCTTTCAGTTCAAAATGTACCTGTGGTCTTAAAAACTGATACTTGCATAGTGCATTTTGCATTTCCACGAGCCTGCACTTGCTTTTTAGCTTTCTTAGATTATTCCTGGACCCCAGACAATCTGGGTACTCTGATACACTAACACCGACCCCCTCTAGTGGTTAACGGCCCAGGTTCTCGCCCTTCTATCTCTGTTGATGGAGAACAGCAAAGTATGGTCCAGAGGTGGTACCCATGGGTAGGTGGTCACTATTAGCATATCAAAACACAATGGGGGAAATGTATCAAAACTAGGGCAGTCAAAATCTGGAGCAGTCGTGCATGGCAACCAATCAGCTTCTCTCTTCAGTTTGTTCAGTAAAAATTTGAAAATGAAACCGAGAAGGTGATTGGTTGCCATGGACAGCTGCTCCAGTTTTAGTCCAGTGTTGATAAATTCCCCTCCATGTTTTTTATAGTCCCAAGATGCTTTGCACGAAAATTAAAACCATCAAATGATGATTTTTATACAACACATGTTCAGCGGAGCCTGTACAAACCATAAATTAAAAACTAAAATCCTCCATTTATTTGGTACTCCTAACGCAATAATACATGGGGATCCCCATCCCTTTTCCCTCACTGAGCCCATTAGGAGACAGTGAGTCCCTGTCCTGCTGCTAAGTACAGCCATTATTCTCTATGGCAGGGCCCCCACACAGGAGAGGGAATATGAACAGAAGGCACATGAGGTATATTGTACTACTGTAGATACCTATGATGGATTCTGGAGGGGGGGGGTTCAAAGTGCTTTACATTTTCTTAAACGGAGATTCTTTATTTTTTACATATGCTATGCTAGCATGTTACATGCTATGGTTAATCCTATGGTGTCTTTGGTGTGCCCAGCTTGCTTTTCATAACAGACGCTCTTAATTTGGACTTTTAGCCATGCTTTGGTATCTGTGCAGCCAAGCACACAACTTGAAGGAAGTCAATGTCATAATTCTTGCTGTTATCAAGACTTTCATTTCCAGTTCTCTTAAAAAAACACCTTCAATGCAAGTTCTCTAATCTTTTCCCACTAATTGCATTTATTTCCCTTTTTTTTATTACATGGCGAAATAGGATATAGCATCTAATCATATTTTAATATTTCTAGTGATGATAAAAAAAACAAATGTCTATTAAGTTCAAATTGCATACTTCGTCTCCTCCAGTTTGTACTTTGACAGTGGAGCTCTATAGTTTTTCTAACCATTTTGCATATCTGCTTTTCAGATTAATGATTCCTATTGCAACTACGAGGCCTTCATGAATGTTATTAAATTAAGCAACAATGCTGGAGAGTTGGAAGCTGTGAGGGACAAAGCTGCTGAAGAACTGCAGTGGCTGCGATCATTAGATACTGTAGGAGCTGGTATGTAATACACCAGTGATCATTTTATTGTGCTGACTTCTTTATATAAGAGGGTAAACTCATGCTGGTTGGAGGGACTGTACAGGATGTCACGTTTTCTTCCTTCATTTTTATCATGATGTGCTCTTTAGAAGATTGCGAATCACTAGAGATGGGTATTATCCTGGAGCTTGTTAACATGGGCTATATTTAAGAAAAACAATGTATTACAGTACAATAGCTACAGCACATTGCAGTTTCAAAATAGAAATATGTACAGTTTGATGAATTGCCTTCTTTTTTTCTTTGCTTTGTAGCAGCTTCCCTTTCCATTCAGCTCATAGGTAGGTAAATATGATAGAAAGGACTGACCATGAAGCTGCATTGGCTATAGGTTTATATAGTTACACTGCCATTCGGATAAGTCAGTGTCTCTTCTGTAAGAGTTTTAGGCCCCATTGACACTGCCCAAATGGGGCCGATTTGTATGAGTCTCACAACTTGCTCTGTGAGACTTATGCGACTAAAACAATGACGGCTAACAGTGCCAACAGCCATTCACATGTGACCGGACATACTGTTATTAGCTTGAGTCTCGCGTAGTAACTTGTAAGATTCAATCAGCCCCATTTGCAAGTTTAAATATGGCCTTACTGGTTTTTTTTTATAGAGGGGATAGACCAATGCCTCCAATGTCACTACTGCTACAAGTGTGTAAGATTTCTGCTTATCAACATATTTATTGATTTGATCATCTCGAGTTCAGAGTGCAGTATGTCTAATCACAATTAGAGAAATCTGGTGACAGTCAGTCATTTTGATCTATCAAATAAGCATCATTTGCCAAGAGTCATGTAATTTGGTCCCTACCTGCCTGGATATAATTGAAATGGATTATTTAGGTAGACCCTTGCACTTCATAGTTGTTGGCAGTTTTGTTGATCTGACAGATTATAGTTTCACTGTGTACAGCTAGCTTGCTGATTTCATAAATAGGGTATGTGAGTGCTTTGCGGTTCCTGTGTTCTGTACTGCGTCCTATCTTCTGCAGAGTGGATAGGAAGATATTAGGGAGAAGTTATTTATGTAAATTAATGCCACATGTCCTAATACTTGGCTTTAGCACAGTTAATAAACATACCCCAAACATTGTTAACTTTAACAGGAAGTGAACCCCGACCAAAGCAGCACCCACAAAGCACAGGTGTCTTTTAATAAAACCTTTTATCAGTCTGCCAAAGATCTTTTAATACTGTGTAAAGTCAGAATAAACAATCACCTCGTCCATAAGCAAGGTATGTGTGTACTTTACCAGCAGTTAAACATGTTTGTTTGAGTTCATTGCTGGCAGAGTTCATACCCACGTTACATATTTCTGGGCTACAGAATGCAGGTCAGTTACAGATCATGGCAAGAGACTTTACAATTGACACTTTTAGGGGCATATTGGTAAACGCTTTCACCAAACATTCTCTGGTGGTGAATCACTACTGTCATAAAAATATATGCACCTGGGGAATCCTCCTGCATTAAATGTTTGGTGAATGTCAGATTTACCACTTTAAAAATGTGTCCCTAATGTTGTTCCTTTTACTCCCCTAGTGAATGCACAGATACAGCAATACACTTTAGAAAAATAATCATCAGAATCTGTACCCATAATATAACCCTTCCTGTAAAAGTTGAGCAAGAATATGAATCAAGAGTAAAATCTTTAATTGCAAGTAAAAATTATTGCAAACTCTCAAGGCACAAAATCGTTGTCAGTTTTATTACAAATGAATTACAGAAAGGTTTCTTTTAGTTAAAGCACAGCTAGATATAAATAAAAAGGAATAGTTAAAAGCTATTCTAGGCATTTTGGCTCTTTCCATATATAACATGAGACCACACGTCAACTTTTCAAAAGCTATGTTATACCTTAAGCAGTGTTTAGCAGCTCGATGTGTACCATTGGCACTGCCGAGTTTCACTGCAGGCTGTACTTGGCAAAGCTCTCGATTCATGTACAGTTGTGCCTCAGGGGAGCTATGTAGAAACTGGAAGGACAATGCTGAATTAAACCGTGCCATTTAAGGCAATGACAATGTCTCTTATACTGGGTTTATCATCATCCATCCTAGGATACTAACTAAGGGATTGTCTTTGCGTAACAGAAAAGCTAGTGGAAAGAAGTATGACTTTGTGGCCAAATTTATGTAAAAGATTGTTTTTATATACAGCCATTTTGTATAAAGCAGTACTGTAGCAGGATGCACGGGGGGAACCTTGCATAAGACAGATGAATGCTGTAGAGAATGAGGGGAATTTATCAAAACCGGAGCAGACAAAATCTGGAGCAGCTGTGCATGGCAACCAATCATCATCTCTCTTTCATTTTCAAGGCTTAAGGCCTTGTTCACACCAAATGCAGAGCAGATCCGCTCAGGTTTCTGCACACGCAGTGCAGTGGGTTGTGCCGCGTTTTTGATGCGTTCCGGGCCCTTTTTAGTTAAAAAAAATGTTTTTTTTTGTTTGTTTAACATGGGCTTTCAGTGCGTTCCATGCATTTGCATGCGTTTTTGATGCGTTTGCAGATCCAGAGCAGGTAAAATAGGGCCTGCTGCACTTTTTTCACCTGCTCTGGAACTGCATGCTGCGATGTGAACAGGAGCAAAAAATACCATTGGAATACATTGGACGCAGTTTTGATCCGGTCTGCAACTGCTCTGCTCTGCACCTGCTCCGCGCTTGGTGTGAACAATGCCTAACTGAACAAGCTGAATAGAGAAGCTGATTGGTTACTACGGGCAGCTGCTGCAGTTTGATAAATCCCACCCCCCCCATGTGTTTATGGTACAAGCATGACTACAGCTTTCGATACATTGCTTATAAAAAGCACATTTGATTACTGTCTTTGCTTTGGGAGTCTTTCAGTGACATGTTCATGTCATGCTTCAGCTATACAAAATAGTGAGAAGCCACTAAAAAGAGAAGTAAAGCCAAACATTTTTTGTGTCTGGAAGAACAAAGAGGAGGGAATCCCTGCAGACAGTATTGACTGACGGTCAATGCTCTCTACTACAAGAAGAGACAATGAGCTGAGTGATCAGCAGTTACACAATCTCTCAGCTCTCGGTATAGAGCCGGCGTGTGACCGCTGCAGTTTCCCTTGCTGCCTCTAAGCTGGAAGGAGACTACATGTTACTACCTGTAGTTCTCATTTAAAGGGTATGCAAGGCAATGTTAAAAAAATAAGCTAAAAAAGTGCAATACATGCACATTTCCCTGTGCTTTATCTCCAAAATCACAAAGTACAGAAAAATACCTGTTGATCTTCCAGGAGTGCAGTCTGCTTCCAGGTCCTATTGTGAGCTGGCAACACACTTGTTGTGGGCAGACAACACACAGCTTTTTGTGGCTGAATGTAGTCACCTTTGCTCACTGTCTTTTGCTAAACTACTTAACCACTCTGACTTTCAGATCTCTACAAGGTAAAGACTAGTCATTCTGTTGTCCATGATAAGAAATGGTAGGGCTAAATAGATATATAACACAAAGTCTGCATAAGCTAGCTCTTAATTTCTTGCAGGATCAAAAGGTTGTTGCATTTTTTCCCCTCACAAACATCTATAGTGAAACACTTTCAATGGTATATTCAACAAATAAACGGGAAGCAGTAGAAGTTCATTGTTGGAGTTTACATACACTTTAACTTACCCGGATGATTTGGTCTACTAATTTCCAGTGGGTATCTACACTACAGTCTTCAATCAGCTAGTGTTTTTTGCTTCTTTTGATCCCAGGACCCCATTGTGAAAATGAAGAAATGCAAACTGTCTTGTGTACACAGTTGTTACCCATATTTTGTCATTTTATACCCAGTTATTTATATGTTTTAAGAAAATGATATGTGTAACTGTATTGATGAATTTTGAAACTTTAGAAGGTGTATTAACGTTTAACATGGCAAAGCCATTTTATTGAATGTTGCATATTGCACAATGTTCACTTTGTTCTATAGTGCAGTAGGTTTTGCAGTACTTGACGACGTACACATTTCTGCTTTTGTCTTTTTACTAGATATCAACACTATAAAAAACCAGATCCACAGTGTACTGTTTGTAAAGAAAGTATGTGAAACAAGAATACAGAGGTTGCAGTCGGGAAAAGTAAGTTGGTAAACTGGCATCATCATTTTTAGGATGAAGGTATTTAGTATTAAAGTGACATTAAATTCAGGAGTTAAATCTTAAAAATGCATTCAAGTGTCTTCACTATTAACAATAATATACCTTACTTGTGTATCACTCGGCTGTAGATCCTCTAATCATCTCTGAATTGGTGCTGACACTGTGCTTCCTTCTGGAGGGTGGCTTCCTTTGTGTCCTATGTTCCCTGTTTGTGTTGTAAAGTAGTCACCGCTCCAAGCTCACTCCTGTGATGGACTACAATCTCATGTTTAGTTTACTAATTTGTATTGAGATTGTAGTCCATCATGGGAGAGAGCTTGGAGCAGTGGCAACTTTACTACACAAACAGGGACCATGGGACACAAAAGTAGCCACCTTCCAGAAGGAAGGTCAGTGTCGGCACCAATTTAGAGATGATTTGAGGATCTACAGCCGAGTGATACGCAAACTATATTTTTGTTAATAGTTCAGGTACTTGAATTCATTTTTAATGCCAATCAAATCAATAGAAATAGCGACTGTTTATCTTACTTGTTTGAAATAGATGTTCCCTCAAGAATTAGACTTGTTATTATTTTTGGTGCAACATTTCTCTCTGCTAGTTACTGGTGCAGGAGATTAGAGGGGCCAGAAAGTAAAGGATTCCTGAAGGAAAAAAAAACCCGGCATATTATTCAGGTTTCAATATCTAACAACCATACAGTTCAGGTACTTTGTTAGTTGCATAGGTTCTTCCATATTTTACTTATGAGCATGATGTTAGAAATTGTGTTAAGAATCATTGTATTAACTGGCCACTGTGTTAATGAGAAATGTCATGTGGTATTAACCATGGTTTTAATCATTTTCATTCATTTGAGTTCCTATAAAAATGATTTAACACAGTTTTAAAATAATGCAACACATTGAGACGGGCCTTCTAGCCCTTTAAAAGAGAACTATGGGGTAAGTGTTTTTCCCCATAGTTCTATTTAGGGTCATTGGAGGACATATCCTAGCGTCCTACCGTGAACCAAGGCTCAGTATATCGCAAGCTACAGCTTGCGGTATAGCGAGACCGCCGCTGCTGGGACGGATCCCGACAATGCTGTTGAGATCCACCCAGCTGCGCGAATGACTGCTGGCTCTGCCTATCTAGAGGCAGAGCTAGCTGTACCCACCTCCTCCCCCGTCCGTTCCTCCAGTCAGCGCTGAAGGAGCGGGGAGGGGGAATCCCTGCAGGGAGCGGTGACTGACAATCACCGCTCTCTGCAGGGAGATGATCAAGAACTGAGCGAGCGACGGTATGCGTTCACTCACTTCCCGATCTATTGAGCCGCCTTGTGAGTTTCATTGTCACAGGTCAGCTCGAACTATAAGGATGAGTGATTTTTACTCGCCTCATAGTTCTCCTTTAAGAATTAAAAATGGTTATCCCATATGTGATATCTAAGGATAGATTTCATGTTTCTTTGGTACCTAGCCATTTCACAGGTGACACCAATATAATATTTGATGCATTTTCACTTCCTGCTTGTTGTGCTTTTGCTAGCTTCCATCCATTGTAAACATTAACCCCAGGGCATAAAACGTGGTCTCTGCAGCTTGCTTTGGTGTCACATGGACATGCCATAGACGCTACTACAGTACCCTCCTAAAGCTTGGAGACTGTTAAATAAGAATCAAGCTACAATGCAAGGCTGGGGGTCAAATTATTTAATTAATTTAGGATTGTGTTTTTCTTCTTTGTCCAGAGTTTAGATGTTAATATCAGGTTTACGCAATTTCCATGCAGAGGCAAAAAATTGCAGCTCAAGGATTTTTTTTATTTTTTAATTGTAATTATATTATATTTGAATTCATAGTATAGACTGGGGAAAGTAACCCAGCTATAGTCCCCTTGGTCTATGTTGCAAGGCCACTATCTGCTTCTTAGTATTAGTGCCCATTCACATCATTGCAGTAATACAGGTTGTGTACACTGCAGTGCTGTTAATTGCAAGCACATGCAACGTACCTGCATTGCAGCAGACCGCAATAGGCAGCAATTCACTACTGTGCAATGTGGTGCGGGGCATTAGAAAAAAATAGTGCAGGTATGTTTTCCTAGCTGTTCTGGTGCATTGGCAATCTATTCATACTCAATGGTCTGATTTAACATAATGCATGTTCATATGCAACTTAATGCAGTGCACCAAAACAAACCGATGAGAATGGACCCACAAAGTAATCGTTGCTGAATTGTAGTTTTCAAAGCTAATCCTGTTTTGGGAAGTCTAACTTCATATCGTACACTTTTACAGGAAATTGATACTGTGAAGTTGGCTGCAAACTTTGGAAAACTTTGCACAGTCCCCCTGGACAAAATTCTTGTACACAACGTTGCACTACAGTTTTTTCTGGGTGAGTAAGATACACTTCATTCATAAAATTGTTAGTCACACTGCTTTGCAAATGAGTGTAGGCATGCTTGGTTTAGTTGAAGTTGTGTCTCTAAATGCATATCTGTTAGCACTGTCACAGCCAACCAACACATACAGTACAAACAGTGTTTCCCATGAGAGTGAAAAATGATCTGCTTTAAATGTGAATGTAGCATCTTTTTCAGCAAGTTAACCACCATTGTAACAAAATATATTCCATTATAATTGCTTTGCTAAACTTGCAGCTGAAAGTTGAAATGTGTAAGTGTTAAATCCCCCATCAGGTTTGTATTGCTAAATTTAAAAAAAGGACCCAACTTTGCTTGAACAGTATGGGGTGATTTATGAACCGTTTGCAGATTTGCAGTGTATTATGGCCACTAGATGATGCCAAAGAGCATAGAAATGTATAAATCACCCCTATGTATTAAAAAAAAAAGGTGTTAGATGCATACTTTTGCATTATATTTGCAAGCGACTTCCCCACCGAGGCTTCTCTGTGTAATGTAGTTCGGAAATCTAAACTAGCAGAGCTTCCGTTCTTGGATGTACACAGCAATAAACAGAATAAAGGTAATGCATGCCTGGAGGTAACCAATATCTCCTTAAAGGTGCAGAGGTGCACTAGAAGCCCAGCACTGCACAATGCCAGCTAAAGACCTTTAGTATGTCTCAGCAATCGGTAACCAGCTTTTTAAAGCAAGGTGCATGTTGCCAGCACACTTTGTAGCCAGTGAGCATACAAACTAAAAACTGTGCATGAATGTTCCCGGGGTGAGTAGCATAAAGCAGTGCTTTAAATGATATTGCACTACAGATATACAGGTATGAGGCTACATAACAGGAGTGCCTAGGCACTGAAAATGCACTGCTATTTTTAGGAGGAATTCAAAGCACAAAAATTTTAGGATGCTGGACATGGGCAAAATTAACGTTTCAGTATCACCCTCTCCGCTCCTCCCAATACCTCCTGCTCTCTCGCATCCTCCCTTGCTCGCTTCCCAGACTCATCCAGAGTCTCTCCCATTCTATGGAACTCCCTATCTCAACCTGTCCGGCTATCTCCTACTCTGTCTACCTTTTAGGTGATCCCTGAAAACTCATCTCTTCGGGGAAGCCTATCCCACCTCTACCTAAAAGCTAAACTCTGAATTTCTCACACAATTCATTAGGGATGTTCTCAATACCACTTTTTCAAGACCAAGTACTTTCCCTCAGGTACTTGGCGATACCAATTACGATACTTTTTCTTAAAGTGACATGTGACATTTTTTCTAAAACAATACAGACTAATGATTTTAGGGCAGTTTCTTCCTGAGCATGTTTATAATATTTCCCATATGCAATCAAATTTCTCAGTCGTTGCTTCATTTCAGCAATACTTTGTATAACTTCAAGTTTAATTGGGGGAAGTGGGACAGATTGGTAGAAGCAGGAGAGAATTGTTACTCTATTTCTGCAACCTGATCATTTTAAAGAGTTATAATTCTCCCCTGCTAACTTAAATAGGCTAAATGATCCATAGTACACACTTCCAGTACACTGCAGAAATAGAGTTACAGTTCTCCCCTGCTAAGTTGAATAGGTTAAATCAAATGATCCACAACACACACTTCTAGTACGCTAGGTAGTCGGCGCTGTGCGGGAGTGTCGTGTCCGGTCGCTCTCTTGGCCGTGCCTGATGTCCCTGGCAGATTGTGGGAAATGCTTCTGTGAGGTCCCGTTTAGCTGCACGGCAGGCTGCCCAGAGGACCCCAACAACCTCTGAGCAGCCCAAAGCTAATTAAAGCACCGGTATCCGTGCTATGTATTGGGCCATTTTCACAAGTACTAGTATCCGTATCGGCAAAGTCCAAATCCCATTCGCACTGCCACGGTCTCAAAACCACAAGGTATATGTGGTGCCCAGGTGAACACACGGATGACGCAGTGCAAAACACTAATAGTAAATAAAAGTAAATCACTGGCACACACTTGAAAGGTTTTTAAAGTATTGATATGTTTATTCAATACCCAATGTCACATACTGTCATACGGTGCTAACGTTTCGGGTCCGCACAGGGATCCTTCATCAGAGCGACAGTGTCATTGTGAGCTTTTCTTATACATTTTTCTCCTTTCCTTTCTCCTTTCACATGTGCTTATGTACTTGGCCTGAACTGCTGTCTGTGGCTGTTAGGATGTGAGCAAAGTATTTTCTTGCATGGATCTTGCTGAGCTTTCTCTTGTAATAGTTATGTATTTGCTAAAATAGCTTCTGTTCCAAATGGTTAGTTTTCCATTCAGAGCTGTTAAAATATCATTGCAAAAGTGATCACAAAACAGCTGTTTTCTGTAACTGCTAACTGTAGCAATTAAACAGCCACTCAGTTGCTCATGTGGTCCAATTCCAGACCATTGTGATCTGATTATTAAACTCAGATTTGATCATTCCTACAAAGCCATCATTGTGTTCAGGACATATTTAGTTTCTCCTTATCTCTAGAACACATTAACTGAAACAAATGTTCTTGTTCGTATACATGGCTATGCAGAGCCATTGGTGTAACTGGAGAATCCTCTGTGGATTTTATTTTATTTTTTAATGTTTTAATTTTTGCTATCTCTTTTTTTTCCCCTCATCTTTCTGTCTCTCACTTTCAATGAGCACCAATGCAGGAGAAATTGCTCCTTCTCTTTTAGTCCTTCATTAAGGTACACAGAAGGAATTCTTAGATGTTTTGGGTTTTCTGCCTGTACAGGAAAATTGTACACTGGCAACAAAGCATTGTTAGTCAGCAGGTGTAAAGCTGACCATACACTACACAAGTACATTGCACAAGTACATTGATGCAAACTATGTATGTAGTGCAATATATTAGATTTTTATTTTTTTAGCTTAGCCTGTGAACTGAATGCAAAAAAATCTGAAGGATTCCACCATCCACACTAGATGTGGGGCTGACCTGTAATGTGACCCTAGGGTAATGGGTTCTCAAGTGTGTTACATAGCCCGAGAGCACTTTGCAGATGTAGAGTATGCAAACCAAAGGGACCAAGACTGTCTGGAATGTTACTGTTAGCCTCAGGACACTGTGCAGACTGCCACTGTAGTAAGTGTGGGGGCCAGTTAACCCCTTTTTTTCTAGGGAACCTGGTATGTGTACTCTGCCTCCTGGATTTATCCCTTTAAGGGACACCCGTATGACTGCGACTTATTATTATTTTTATACAGGATTTATATAGTGCCAACAGTTTGCGCAACGCTTTACAATATAAGGAAGACATTACAATCACAATACAATTCAAGACAAGATGGTAAGGAGGGCCATTACCGTCTGTGCAGATGTGCTTTTCCTCTGCTTCTCCCACTTCCACATGAGGGTCCCAGTATCATTGCTCATACTCTACAGTTTCAATACAAACATTTTCTGCAACTTTGTTGGATTTGTTGGAAAAAAAACCATTGCCCCAATTGCTGATTCAGAATGCTGGTGCCGGAAAAGTACTTCTATGCTTTCTCATCCAGAGTCTGTCTCTGATATGTCTGGAGCTTTTGCACGTACAGCTGAGGTCTACGAGAATAGCAAGGAGTCAGACCCATCATGTGGATGATCTTGTGCTTGAGACGATTCAGTCCACTGACATAACTGCTTGGCTTAAGGATACCATCTCGTTTTTCATTGACACACTGCTTACATGGGCTAGTACCATCAGTTTTGTATGGGTATTGGCGAATAATGGTGCCTCCCTGGGGTGGACCCGGCCATTTCTTGCCTTAGCAAACCCTGGACATTACCGTTGAGGACCTTCCAGTGTTTCAAGATACAGTTAATGAAAGATAGGACATCCTTTCCAAGTCCCTTTTTATCCTGGCGGACCCAGTTCAGCAGCCTGCCATTGCTGTCATAGCCATTTGCCAGACCTTGGGGGTCTGGAACAAGGATATATCTAAGGCTCATGGCATGATCTTAACTGATTCTTCAGTTTTGCAACTGTTGAAACTAGAGATGCACCGATAATAGTACTCGCCCAAATGGTCTGATACTCACCTCTGATACCGGAACTTCTGGTCAGAGGGAGATCTCCCTCTGACCGGTAGCGCTGAGGGAGCAAGGAGCCGGATTCCTTTCCAATCAGGAAGCCTCCCAGCTTCCTGATTAGCTAGAAAGCCGACCACACTTGTTGCTAGGAAGCCAGGCAGCCCCGAGAAGTGAAGCCAGTGTTCTTTTGATAGAACACTGACTTCCCAGACAATCAGGAAGCCGGGCGGCAGGTCATGATCCGCCGTCTGGTTTCCTGATAATTGGGGCACATGGCACCGTTAACGGTATTTGGTATCAGCGAGTAAAGTATTGGTACTCGATAATGAAAAACTGGCATCAGTGCATCCCTAGTTAAAACTCATGCCTGTTGCCCTACACTATTGTGTTGATGGTCATGTGGATATGGTTTGTCTCATTGCCAGAATGCATCCAGAACCACGGTATCACAGCACATTCTGCAGCCTGTAGAAGTGATCGAGTGGCTAGACAGCCATCTTGAGTCACTTCTAACAGAAAACCTACAGGCTGTAGAAGAAATGTAAACAGACTTACAGCTAGAATGACCATTTTTGTGACTATTATAGGGGTCTGGCTGTTATAGCCAATTGCACCTCATTCATTGGTAAAATTCTTCATACAGGAGGTCATCCACATAGTTTTCATAGTTGAGGTCTACATATGATGCCAATTACAGGCCTCTCTCATCTTTTTAAGTGGGAGAACTTGCACAATTGGTGGCTGACTAAATACTTTTTTGCCCCACTGTATACACCCACCTGTGACCTTATGGGGCCTCAACCTGGTTCTGTTGGCTCTTCAAAAAACAGCCTTTGAACCTATCGGAGCTATTCTTCTGCCTCTTCTCTCCCACACGATGGCCTTTCTTGTTGCCATCACCTCTGCAAAATGAATTTCTGATCTGGTGACCTTGCCCTGCAAAGGCCTTTTTATGTGCTATACAGAGATAAGGTTGTCCTTTTCTTTCTGAGGTGGTGTCTCCGTTCCACTGTAACCATTATAATTGCATTTTCCAGTGGAGTGTTTCCACTATTGTTTGGGTGTGGTAAGGGCTGTTCAAGGTTATCTCTCAGTCGCATCTTCTTTAAGAATAACTGACTCCATCTTTTGTAATTCCTGAGGGCTCCGGTAGGGGTCAGCCTGCCTCTCGCTCCTCCAGTTCAAGCTTATAATTTCTGTCTAGGGTTTTATGTTTTCCTTTCAAGGCGCGCTCTACTAGAACAGTAATTGCCTCTTGGGTCTTTCAGCATCATACATCTGTTTCCAAGATTTGCAGGGCTACCACCTGGTCTTCTGTACACATGTTACCTACGTTTTATGTTTTACTGATTAAGAAAACTGGAGATTTGATAAACAGTGAAATCCTTTTCTTGGAGTTTTTTTAAGGGACACAGGTGTGTCTCTTAAGAAACTCCCAACTGTTTTTGCCTGACACTAAAGTATGTTGGGAGTGAGAGCAGTTGTACTTGCTAACAGATTTTTGCTTCCAGTGTCCAATTCTCCTGTAGATGACAGTATAACCCATACATCTTAACATTCCTTCTCACTCTGTGTCCCTTAATGAACTCCAAGAAAAGGATTTTATGGCAAATCAAAAATCCTTAAATTTTTAGTGACATGTTTGCTTACACCCCCTCATTTACAATATGGACATCCATTAACCTGACAACAAATTAACAAATAGGGTGTCATATACTTTGTCATATAACCTTTTCTGCATTTGTGTTATTTTAGTAATATGAATGTTACTGTGTTAATTGACTTATTCTTATTTCCCTTTTTTACTGCAGATTTTATGCAGCAGACAGGAGGGCAAGCACATCTCTTCTTCTGGCTTACGGTGGAGGGATATCGGGTGACGGCTCAGCAACAGCTTGAGGTGTTGCGTAGTCTGCAACAAGATGGAAAACATCAAACCAACCAAACTAAGGGCCTTTTAAGATCTGCTGCGTTTGGAGTTTTTGATCAGTATTTATCAGAAAAGGTACATTTTCACATCTATTGGTGAACTATGCACATTACATTTCCAAAGCCCAAAACATTTTGGAGTTGTACCCACTTGGCCTGGATGATAGTTAATGATGAAATATCAGATTTTTACAGTCATGCTGATTTACCAAACCTGCACCCTGTTGATCTATTATTACTTATATACTGGTTTCTAATCTTCTCCAAACTTGCTCAGTTCTGAGAGCTACAATTACACTATATTGCCAAAAGTATTGGGACGCCGGCCTTTACACGCACATGAACTTTAATGGTATCCCAGTCTTAGTCCGTCGGGTTCAATATTGAGTTGGCCCGCCTTTTGCAGCTAGAATAGCTTCAACTCTTTTGGGAAAGCTGTCCACAAGGTTCAGGAATGTGTCTATGGGAATGTTTGACCATTCTTCCAGAAGCGCATTTGTGAGGTCAGGTACTGATGTTGGACGAGAAGGCCTGACTCGCAGTCTCCGCTCTAATTCATCCCAAAGGTGTTCTATCGGGTTCAGGTCAGGACTCTGCAGGCCAGTCAAGTCGCCCCCCCCCAAACTCACTCATCCATGTCTTTATGGACCTTGCTTTGTGCACTGGTGCACAGTCATGTTGGAACAGGAAGGTGCCATCCCCAAACTGTTCCCACAAAGTTGGAAGCATGAAATTGTCCAAAATGTCTTGGTATGCTGATGCCTTAAGAGTTCCCTTCACTGGAACTAAGGGGCCAAGCCCAACCCCTGAAAAACAACCCCACACCATAATTCCCCCCTCCACCAAACTTTACACTTGGCACAATGCAGTCAGGCAAGTACCGTTCTCCTGGCAACCCCCAAACGCTGACACGTCCATCGGATTGCCAGACAGAGAAGCGTGATTCGTCAATCCAGAGAACACGTCTCCACTTCTCAAGTCCAGGGGCGGTGTGCTTTACACCACTGCATCCTACGCTTTGCATTGCACTTGGTGGTGTAAGGCTTGGATGCAGCTGCTCGGCCATGGAAACCCATTCCATTAAGTTCTCTACGCACTTTTGTTGTGCCAATCTGAAGGCCACACAAAGTTTGGAGGTCTGTAGCTACTGACTCTGCAGACAGTTGGCAACTTCTGCGCCCTGTGCGACTCAGCATGTGCTGACCCCGCTTTGTCATTTTACATGGCCCACCACTCCGTGGCTGAGTTGCTGTTGTTCCCAGTTGCTTCCACTTTATTATAATACCACTAAAAGTATTCTGTTGTTGTTGCCCACCACTCAATTGGACTGCTTTTGGACATCCCAATTGTCTTTGAATCCTGTAAAAATCCATTTCTTGGAGTTCATTGTATGGCACAGGTCCCACCCCTTTGTATCTATAATCTTCCTCCTAGTATTGCTTTTCTTTTAAACGTAGGCTTATACTTGGAGTGTCTCTTGATCCTGTATCTTTTTATGAACTTTTAAGAAATGGATTTTACAGATTTTTTTATAGAATGATTGCACTTTCCATAAAAAAAGAAAGAATGAACTAAACAAATGAACATTGTCTTCCTGATCTCTATCACAGGCATCGCCCAGAGTCCAGATTGATGAATATTTATTAGCAAAACTGGAGGAATTGTTAAGCAATGAAGAACCAACACCAGAGATCTTTGATGAGATTCAGAGAAAGGTAAGTTGTTCCACCCACTTTTGTACTGTTTTACTGCTTGAGAAAAGGCACCGTGATGCCCAAAACATTGCATGAAAGAATACCCTTTATATTTTTGAAAACTCCTGGCATAAAAGTTTTTTCTTTCTTTTTATGTGCTTTCCTTGCTGTTGGCGTTTTTCATTTTTTGGGGGGTTATCTGTTTATACCCTATTGTGTTAAGGGATATACAAAGCTTGAAACTACAGGCCCTCATTGATTGCTTTTCATTCTACTACTCCCTGATATTTTGTTTAGAATTGTTTGTGAATGTCTTTTCTGTCTGAAACCTTGTATTTTATTTTCAATTGTTGTATATATTTTTATCTGACAAGGTATATGACATGATGCTGCGGGATGAAAAGTTTTACCCCTCCTTCCGTCACAATGCTCTCTATGTTCGGATGCTTGCAGAGCTGGACATGTTGAAAGAACCTAGCTTTAAAGGATCTGATGATGGAGATGGAGGTAACCCAAGATAAATCATATTATGGATGGGCTTGTGTTGTCTATATCTTAAACTATTGCCATGCATCTGGAAAGGTTATATTTTTAGTTGATATATGAAACACAGACCTCATTTGTTGTCTTAAATAATTTAATATCGCATATATAATTCACCCTCTCCATTAACATTTCTGTATTGATTTTAAGGCATCATTCTTCCAGTAATTCTTCCATAATACTGCCACTTGGCTACACTTTTTTCTTCATTGCATGCTCGTCTTATTCTTCACCTGCCATCTGCAAGACATTTTGCTGTAGGATTGTCTCCAGTATTCGCATCTCATGACTGTGACTGTTTTCTCCGTAGTACATTAAAAAAAAAGGAGGAATTTTGTCAGGAACAGATAACGGACTCATACCTTAGAAACCATGACCACTCTGCCGTTGCAGAGTTCTGCAGCCATCCTAATTAAGTTTTATTTATAATTGTGATGGACGGTTATCTTGTGAAATGTGCTAATTACAAGTACATTCCAAGGCTTTGTATTTCCCTCCTTTGCAATTTCCCCTGTTACATGGCCATGTGCAGCAGCAAGGGAATGTCTGTGATCATTATGTGCAAAAACCCCTGTGAGTTAGAACAGTGCAGTCACTGGCACGGCCCCCATCTCTCATCGATAGTAACATTATATTTACAGAACATGTAGTGGGCATTACAAAGTGGGCAGATCATGGTCAGTGTGTTTTTGCCAAATCCGTTCTCCAAATCAGTACCTCTATCACCACCCTGCAGCTAGAAAGCAGAACCAATTCTTTAACAGACTTTGAAGCCCAAAACTCCAAAGCCAAGGAAAAAGTTATACACAAACCACTCTGGGTGTGTAAATGATCATTTAAAAGCTGTATGTAATGCGTGGAGGGCCGCCGCAGAGTATGGAACTCTTACCTTGCAGCACTCCGTCTCCTGCACATTACGCCAAGGCATTTTGTGAATGGTTGAATATTGGGGAGGGGATGAGCAATAAGTCACATTGATTACTCCCCTCAATGCTGGGGGACAGCATGCTGCAGCGGTGCTCATCACATAAAACCGCTTTTTAATGACAATTTTACACACCCAGTGTGGTATAAGGTTATCTTTTTTTTTCTGGAGTTTGGCTTCAAAGATTTCACATGGGGTTACAGTCTGAGGAAAAAAATAAACACTAGTCCTTTTGCATTACATTTAATTTTCTATATGGTTCAGTTCAGCTTTAATGGTTAATCATAACAGTGACAAATAGAGGGCAGAATAGTAAGGGAGTGTTGTGTCATAACCTTTGCTCTATTTTAAAGGAATAAAAATACTATGCTCATGGTAAACAACAACATGGTTACAGCCAAGGATGCATAACTAACCCATTGTTCCCTGTTTTCACAATCGATACTCGCATCCTGTTATCCGTGTTGCGGACAGTCATGCATTTTAACACAGGAACTGTGAGAAAGGGGGAGTGTGCAGGTAAATGATGCAGCCTTTAAAGAAAGTCGGTCACATAGAGGGCAGCAGTTGTATTGGATAAGGTTACAATTCACCTGCTAATTCAGAGGGTTTCTCTGTTTTAGTGCACTTCATCAAAAAGCAGTATAAGCAGAGTAGAAAAGCCAATAGAAAATGAATTTGTTTCTGCCAGAGCTTTTGTAGACATATTCTTTTTAACTTTAAATTTAATTTTAGCATAAAAAAGGTCAAACAATCAGAATTTGTGCACGAAGCCACCGTGCCTTTAACCTTTTTATGGCTACGATTAGCTTCCATCTGTTAGACACCAGCGCTAGTGTTGTGTCTCCGCCACCCATCTTCACTCTGCCATTCCCAAAATGCCAGAGAGTGGAGAGCAAAGACAGAAAACCAGTGCCAGTATCCAAAGGATGTACAACACTTGTACATGTCATCAGTGGACTGGAAGAACTAACAGAACTCTTTTCAGACAAAAAAAGCCACCAATATACCACTTCAAATTTGATGTGGAGACCCGATAAAGGATTAAAGACTGTGATTCCATGACAGTATCCTGTCTGGAGTTGGGCTGTAAAAAAAAAAAAAAAAAATGAAAGCAGGGAAGGAAGATGTTTTTGCAGAATAGACATGGAAAGCTACAAATTCCTAGATCTGTTTTAACATTAGGATTGTTTTACAGCCATCCAGCTAAATAGACACTCATTAAAATCCCTCATTCACTGCACTAAAGAGAGCTGTTGGTACAGCCCTCAATGTCTACTGAAAAAGTATCATTCCTGAATGTATTGTGAAGATCTTTACTTGCTAGAGAAACAAAGGTGAATTTACTACCTGGGGCAATAACCAAACCCATTCAATAGATAGAGAACAGGTCTGTCTAGTTTGGTTAAAAGCCGTGCTTCCTTTTCAGAAATATACATATAACAATAAACAAGTAAGCAAAACAGTAGACGGATGTTCTAGAAAGTTATGATGCTGACCTCTGAGCAAACAGTTGCTCTTTACCTTACTGTATTAAATCATGTAATGTGGTTTAAATACTGCTAGTATAAATACCTGACATCTGTCTATGTAGTAGCTTCTCCATCACCTCGTTTACCAGGACTCAGAGTGAGCTAGGTTGAGCCAGCAGTGTTAGTGGGTGATGATTTAGTTTTGGGTTACACTATATTGTGTGCACAGACACTCCTCACTTAACGACCGAGTTCCGTCCCTACGGCTAGGTCATTAAGCGCATTAAGCGAATCTAACATTTTAGATTGTAAGCTCTCACATGCCCACCTTTCCTTCTCATCTTGAATTGTATTGTTATTCTAATGTCTTCCTTATATTGTAAAGTGTGGTGCAAACTGTTGGTTCTATGCAAATCTTGTTTTATAATATTAATAACTGACTAATTCACTAAGATGCATCGGTATGGCTACATGTATGGGGGTCAATCTAGCCATAGCTAGATAAGTTATATGCACTGAGGTATATACTACTCTTGTTCCTGAGGGTTTTCTTTTTACATCATATGTAGGGATGCACCGATACCGTTTTTCCGGTATTGAGTACCGATATTTATATTTCGGTACTCGCCGATACTGAGTACCGATACCGGTACTTCTGGTAGCATAGAGCCAGCTTCCTGGGCAATCAGGAAGCCAGGCGGCGTGTCATTACCCACCGCCCGGCTTCTTGATTGCCTGGGAAGCCGACTCCATTCTGTTTGGCTGGGTTCCCAGCCAATCGGCATCGATGCCGGCCAAACAGATCTGACCAGATTGCCCAGCGCTCTCATTCAGAAATCCTGTGCATGCGCAGTAGCAGGCTGAGGGCCGATCACACGAGCGCTGCGCACACAGGAGTCGTGGGAAGATCCGAGAGAGCGGTGTCTGCCCAGCTGGCCGAGGGACTGGTACGGTAATGACTGCTGCTAAGGATCTATGTGAGGGAAATGATTTGTCTGCAGGGTGGGGGTCATGTCGCCATATTATCAGATTTGTTTGGCTGGGAAGCCGGCTTCCGGGCCAAACAGCATGGAGCCAGCTTCCCTTCTCCATGTTCCCTCGCGGCACTGCCAGTCAGACAAAATCTCCCAAAGGGATATCGTTCTGTTGATTTCAGCTGCTTATAAAACAGAACCTTGATTTATAAACCTGCACATTCGTGACTTGTGTGTATGCTCCACTTATGTGAATGCCTCATTTATTTTCTCTTTAATCAAATAGCTTTTACCTATTCTGTTTACATACAACCACCTGCCACAGAGAGGTAGAGGTGAAGATTAAGGGATTACATTTTATGTGTAACAGAATAATGTTTAAATACGGCCTGTAAATATCAAATGTTAAACAGAACTTGGACTGAATATCATGTCTTCTTGTCTTGTGTTTGGATGCCCCCTAGTGGCCGACATGTTTTAGGTTTATTTATGTTACAAAGTTATTTCAAACTGAGAAGTGCATGCACACTCAATCCAGATGGGCTTTTTTGGCCTTCTTTTTTGCTATTTGCATATTTGCTGTTTTTATGGTTATTATGTTTAAGCCTCTTTATGCATTTTCTCTCCTTTTGCCTTTTGAGTGCATATTTATAAGAAAAAGGCATATTGCGTATATGCATATTAGTGTGGCAAAACATCTTTGTTGCAATTTCCAGCAAATCACGTTTTCCTTATGGGTTGAATGGTAATAGATGTAACATGCATCTAAAAAGCAGCACGCCACATTACAACCACCCTGCATGAAATACACATGTAAATTGTATCCTTTTGTACAAATGGCTACATTGTAGCCTTTTGTACAAATGGCCAACAATGATAGAAGCTTTTCAGATTCATCTTAGTAAAGCTGTTAACTTAAAGTACGTGCTCCTCTGTGACCGGTCCCACATCCTCTGAGAGAGCCACACCCTTCTTCATTTGTGTATTTTATGCTCCCCCTCCCAGACACTGCAGCTCACAGTGGGAGGGTTTCAGCAGCAGAGGCAGTACTGTCAATCAATAGAGCAGTGGGCTGAATTAGGTGTGTTCAGTTGCTGATTGACAGCCTGCCTGCTTGTGAATCAGCAGTGACAATGCTGATAGCTTCACCCTCTGCAAAGTCTTCTTATTTCACTGTAGTTTAAGCAAACACTGCCTACATGAGAGCCACAACATTGCTCTGAAAGCAGTGCTGCAGTTATTAATTACACTGAAGGCCAGAAAAGAGGCAATGAATGTAGGTATGACTTTCGCTAGCTTTATAACCTGACCTGCAATGGGTGCAGTATTTCTCATGATTTATGGGTATTTTATATCTCAAGTGTAGCTGAGCCCAGTAAGTCGATGTGTGGTGGTTTTGTGCATGTGTTCCTTCCCTCTCTATTATTGTCAGAACTAAAAAAATGCAGTAAATTGTATGATGTTTTCCTTTTTTTCAGGTAATTGGAAAATATGCCAAATTTAATAACTTTTTTCCCCAGACAGTTGAGCAGTTTGTTTGGTTTTTCACATTTTCCTTTTCTTTCATTTTCTTACTGTCTGCTATAAAAAAAAAAAAAAAAGTAAATAAATGTTTACAAAGCTCATTAGTTCAAGCTGAATCCTACACAGTTAATAGGTCATAAAGTTAATCAGTCAGAAGAGTGAATCATCCCGTATAAAAAAAGTATACATGTGTATATACAAGCAAAAATACAGGTATAAACATTAGTTTAAAATATGTATACTTAAAACACAATTACAGAGAAATTGACCCAAAACTATTATAATTGCCTTTTAACATCAGATTTTAGTCATTTTTACCCATATTTTGCTACTGTATACTTTTTTTTTTTTTCTTTTCAAAAATGTCCTAAAAATCACTTATTTCCTTTTTATATATTTTTTTCTTTTAATCTAGAGAATTGAGAGCTAGGATAGTAGTGAGCAGAGTGGTTCTTGCATAACATAATACAATGTGATGTCACAGACTTAAGATGGGCATTCTCTCAGCTATGAATGCCCTGTTCTTTGTCTGTTGCAGGTGCAAATACATTTCTCATTGGTATGTTTTGATGGGAGGCCTTGGGGATATAAAGATTCTGGTGTTGGGTGTGTGCCATCAGTTGTCCTTTTACTTCCAAAGTTGTGTTTCTGCTGATGTGCTTTGATTCCTAGTGAGTGAGCCTTAGTTACAGTTACTATTTAGAAAGCTTCCACTGTATTCTGATCTGTTTTTCCCATTCCTTTACAGAATCTTTCAACGGATCACCAACAGGCAGCATAAATTTGGTATGTTATTCTTCCACCCCTTCATTTATTACACATTTATTTCACTTAGCGGTGGCACATAGAATCCAATCAAAAAGTTGCTTTGGGTTTCAGAAATTTGCTCATCGTCAGTGCTTTGTACAATCAGGAATGTATTAAACCGTGTGTATGTTACAAATCACTTTGACATAAAGGTTAAACATTTATTGATATTGACTGCAAGGGTAATACACACTTGTATGGGTATACTGTATATCTCTCAAGGTACTGCACTGTCCTGTGTTTCTCAAACAGCACGTTGCAGGCTAGCTTGGTGGAAACATTGATTTATACACTTGTCAGTTAGTGTTTGCTGAAGTTCCATCCAACCAATCCAATCACTTCCCCACTCTTTATACGCCACTTAGCAGGCCCAGGAGTTAAATGGTTTAACAGTATAGCCAGGCGCTTTCATTATTTTTTCATCAACATGGCGGCAAGCCAGCGATCCGCCTCTCACCTTTGTAGTTCTGGATGACCCAGTGCCACCGGTCGAGCAGGTAACTAAACACTGACATATGCGCTCTCACAAATGCCACAACTGCACCCACGCTCTTCATTGCCATGCACTGACGCACATTACCCCCCTTTCCACCACTGGACTGACATGCACTACTCCACTCTCTGCCCTGCGCTGACCAGCATTATCCCCCTTGTCACCTCTGAACTGACATGCAGTAACCCACTCTTTGCCACTGCATGGCCATACATTACCCCCATTGTCACCACTGAACTGACTTGCACTACCCCACTCTCTCCCCTGCACTGATGCACACTATCTACTTTGCTACCACTGAATTGACACGCACTACCCCGCTCTCTGCCACCACAATGATGTCCATTTATACAGTCCCGGCCACTTAACCACGGTGTGCTTCCCCAGTCGCCACTACTGCATCAGTGTGTACTACCCTACTCACTGTCACTGCACCTGTGCACACTTCTGCATCGCTTAGCATAAACTCAGCTAGATTGCATATGAGGGTGAGTCTTCTATCCCTGACTGGTATGTAGTACCCACTCAAAACCCTTCATATCCCTGCCTCTGCAGAGTAGCAACTTTTGCTGGGTTTTTTTTTTGAGTCATCTCAATCCGGATCATCTCTTATGATGCCTTACACCACATGTTACATGCTACTGGGCTTCAGGCTATAGAAGAGGCTGGCAAAGTAGAGAGGTAGCCAGGGATGTGGGCAGGACATTAGGGAGGAGTGTGGAGCTGTGAGTGAATAGTGAAAAAAAGTGTACTAGTTTCTAAGCAGAGTGCTTCTGTTTGTGGGACTACAAACATTAAGAAGGCAGGATGACATGTGCACAAAGGCATACAGGAACTGGATGTGAATATGGTTCTTAGAAAATATTCAAAGGTATTTATGGTAGCTAAATGGACAATACAAGGTGACATGTTAAAATGGCATGCTATATATAATTTTTGTTTTATGACTTCAGTGACACTTTAAATTTTCTATTTCTCTTTGGTTCATTGGAGGGCACAGCTCTCCTTTAGATCACCACCTATTGGTTACAGTGCTACCCCCAAGAATAGGATGCTAGGTACAACTAAAAAACAAGATGGCACAGAGGCGGCCCCTGCTGGTGGCCCAAACACCCCACGCTGTGAAACAAACTCAGTTAAATGACACAACAGTGCAAAAACTAAAATATTTAAACTCACGGGCAGCAGCAAAGCCAGAGGAGAGTGGGTGCTGTATCCTCCAGTGAATGCAGGGAAAGGATTTTACGGCGAGTTCAAAAATTCCTAATTTTTAGTGCTGTGATTGATCCTGTAGTCCATAGGAAATGATATCCGCTCCTACTGATGTTGTTGCCTGACCTCTCTAGTCGAGGAAAGTGTCCGGTTGCCTGAGTGAATGGCATTCTTGTGTTATTTCACAGAGTGAGAAGGAAACATTGGTGTTGGTATGAGGTCTGGGAAACAATACTGTCCATATGAAGGAATCTTTAACTTTCCCCTTAGTTTGTAATGTTTAGTGCTATTCTGGGACTGCCGTGCTTGTGCAGGTGTTTGAACACTAGCAGATTAGTTGTTTCTGGCCTGGCTCCATGTCTGGAGTAAATGCCTACTCAAATAATACAGCTCCCCTGTGTCATTCAGTTACAATAAACAGAACAGCTAGTGAATTGGGGGGAAAGGTCATTCCTGAGGTCACTGAGTTGCTCTGTTTATAGCTCCATTAAAGGGCCACAAAACCGAAAACTAGAACTGGTATCCAGGAATAGCGTCATGCAAAAATGCAGACAATGGTAAATGATCCCATATTCATGATATCATCCCATATTCAGAATACCTTAATGTTTGGTGTGTTGCTAAGTATGTTTTAATATTGGCATTTTATCTGCGGTTGGTTTGGGGTGCCATGTGTCCATCATTGGGATTATTGGACAGATGGTCATCTCTGTAACAAAATACTTCTATTTTCACCTAATATTATATCAGATGCCTTAAGCTGGATATACACAATAAGAATTTATTTAGAAAACAGACCAATTGACAATGGTTTAGGCACTGTGATGAAAAAAACCAAAGGAGCAGGATGCAAATTTTTTTTCTAGAATGACCGAAATTCTAACAGTAATGTTAGAATGTTCTGGAAACTTCATTAAATCCAAAATCTGATTACAATGGGTCTAAAATAAGGAATATCATGAAAACAGGTTTTATTTATTAATTTAATTAGCATATGGATGGAGGGGCCAGGAAATACCAACTTCAGCTTTAAGCAAGCCCAACAATAGACCACTCAGTACCAAGCACTGCATGGTGGGAGATGGTGAATGCACTCCAGACATGGAGAGTGAAGTAATTTTGGGGCTCCCATAGCAAATCAGGAAGGGGGTCAGTGCAGAAAAGGTAAAAAGCACGCAAACTATGGTGCTTGCTGTCTAGCTATGCTCTTAGTTTGCTTCCTTTGCCCCTATCATAGGTTTCCTTTGATGCAGGGCTGGACAGATCCCAGTGGCCAAGTAGCCCATGCTCCTTAAAAGTTACAGCCAGCACCTGTCTCTAGTTTTCTTTAGCTGTTGTCGTTGGAACTGGCTCCTTGAAAAAGAAGTGCAGGAAATGTACATGCATACTGTTCATTATTTTTTAGTTTTGTTTAAAGTGAGCCTGTCCCAAGCCTGGGCAACACATGCATAACGTTTTATTGAAAAATGCATAAGCAGAGGTTGTCTTCTGTGGAAACCATGGGATTCCATGTCTGTTGAGCTTGCAATACGTCATATTTCTTCTTTTTTTTTTTTATAACAAATTCCTCCATTCACGCTAAACAGCATGGATGAGGTGAATTTCTCGCTGGGCTGCGGTATATTGTATATCCAAACACTAAGGACAGCCAATTGGCTGCAATCACTATTCGCCCGAAAATTTTCAGACTGGCTCCTTTTATTTTCTAATCCAGTTTAACTCCCATCGCCCAGTAGCATTAGTCAATTACAGGCTCTGATGTAGTAAAGAGGGATTGGTTGACCAATGAGAAACATTTTTCTTTATAATGTCTGTGAAGGTTCTCATTCATCCAGGTCATGCTATATATCTGGAAAAAAATAAGTCAGGGCAACTGGACTTGCTGTATTTTTCTTGAAGACGTTTCACTGGACATCCAACCAGGTTTCTCAAAGAGATGACCAGTGAAACATCTTCAAGAAAAATACAGCAAGTCCAGTTGCCTTGACTTATTTTTTCTTCTTTATAATGTAACTGTTGATATAAAAATATTTTATTTCTAATGTTTTAGTCGCTTGACGACCTGTCAAATGTCAGCACTGAAGAGGTGATACAGATCCATGCTTATATTTCTGACACTGGTAAGAAATCTACTTGGTTTTGACCTGTCTTTATTTTGCACAATAAATGATCACATCATCCATATGTCATATTTGTGTACATTATCCCTTTTTCACAATTCAACTAGGGGCTCATTCCCATAGACGCAAATACAGGCGTATGAGCACACAACGGGAAATGCACCTGTATTTGCAGCACCTTGGATTCCTGGCTTTTGTATATTTGTGTCCCTAGGATTGTATGGACACAATACGCTGTACACAGGTATGTACATGTAAACACAAGTACCTGCGTGCATATGGGTGTAAGTTCCCAAATATGAAACTTCTTTCACTTATAAACATGCATGTGTAAACAACAGTTTACATATGTGTACCTGTAAAGTGTATTGTGTCCATACAGTCCTATAAACCCTAATACGCAACAGCCAGGGCTTCCAGGCGCCACAAATAAATATATATTTTCACAATGTTTGCTTATACGCCTGCATTTGCATCTGTGTTAATGAACCCTTACTGTGCCATAACAAGTGTATTATCCCCTCATACAACTCCAGGAAGATCTTGTCCTTGTAGTCTCAGGGTGATATATGTAGCCATTGCTTGGTTACCCCAAAATGGAAATGGCAGTTGTCTCTGAGGTTGGTTTCTAGTGTAGCAGAAGAGTAATGACCTGTGGAGGTGCCACATGACTTTCTCTCCATCTATTCTATGATTCATGTATAGGTGTATTCTCAAAATACATTTGACACGTATTTTAGTGTTTATGCTGCTGAATAATGTTAAATATGTTTATCATCCTAGTTATGCAAGGTAGAGAGTATTTTCTGACAGTACTGAATGTTTTTCCTGAGCCATAAATTTTGAATAGACAAGTCTTACTGTATGAAAGATGAAACCAGCAGCTTGACATGAAATATGCATTCAGTGTCCGGGCAGATGAAAAGCTAACACATTCTTGAGGTTTTCTAGAATTTTCATGCTGTTTAGTAGTTAGGAGTAAAAGCGAGTACTGCTAAAAAATGTTTCCATTGCCACTCTGACCGATGATTTTCTTCTACTCATTATGTAATGAAATTGTAAATGCTGGTGCATTTGAGAAACTAGATCAAGTTGGAACAAAGCAGTACTACTAGACAACTGGATTCAGTGTAGTTTGCTTGCATTAAAAGTAATCTCGGCAGCAAATAAGTCACTACATCGAATGTTTATTGGGCTTGTTCAGAATGGCATAGTTATAGTGTTTTCTGTTAGGTAATAAATGAGAAGCGCTGTCTTCTGAACCAACCCTAGAATTCTTATCTAGTTACAGTACATTTGATCAGAAGAATAGTCAGCTACAGCTGTACACTTAGAGGGCAAAGCACAATTCAATCTGAATGTTTAAAGTTTGGTTACACCTGATGTTACCTGCAGTGGTACTGCTGACAAAATCTTGGTCCTAGGAAGAAGTACCTGCAGTGTCAACTTGGACTGACACTGCAAGTATGGTATAGGGGGAGAAGAATTATTTGATCAGTGCCCGCTTGACTCCACACAAATCCCGTAAACAAAACACTTAGTATGACTTGGCATTCTAGTTGTTGCTAAGGCTCCGTCATTCAAACAATCAATTCTTGAGCCCAAGGTCTCAATAGAGGCTCTGACTGTTGAGGGACTTAAAAGGGCCCAGTCTACTGACTAAGATAGGAATAGAGAGACTCCACAAGGATATAGGGAATGTTTTGAAAATTCTGAAAGCTCCTTAGTACCAAAAGGTGCCTTCGATTTAGATGCACTGCTAACATAGCCAGTTTTTAGGACCTTCCACCTTAATTGGTGTTCATGGAAATACAGCATCTCCGTCCCAGTGATGTCCCTAGTCTCTAAGAATCTAATAATTCTACAGTGTTATGCAAAAAAATGAATTTTGTCTAGTTTTTCCATTTCATTCTTTTGTCATTCTACCTTCCATTTCATGTTTTATTTTCTACCCTTTGCTTTTTTTGTGTGTGTGCCTCTGCTCCTGTCCTTCTTACTTAAACTACTAGTTCATGTTGACTGTGACCCATATACTATGGCAGGAGTTTGTAATGAACATGGCAAAACCTATGCACTGTACACCATCACTGTCCAGAGGCGGAGCGCAGATGGCATTGTAGACTCTTGGAATACCTATCGCCGATACAGTGACTTTCATGACTTCCACATGCGGATCACTGAACAGGTAAGAGGGGAGCATATAAATGTCTTCATAGTAATCTTCATAATGTACTTAATCCAGGAAAAGTAGTTTTCAGACCCATCAGTGTAATGAGAAGACTGTCGAGGTATATATATGCGAGAGTTGCCTTACAAAGAAATCTACTGATAACATTTACATATGTATATCTCTGAATTCAGTTACCCTGACAGAACCTGAGATCTATTACTTTGGCTTAAGGCGTATCTAAACACCAAAAATGTAACATGTTGCAGCTTACCAGTCCTTACATGTTGTGGCTGCATTAGATTTCTTTCTTTTAGGTTCTTTTTTACTTTATTTTCACCTAGTGATCCGGCCAGTAACACACTTCCTGTGTTAGGGTGGCCCCACTCTATCGAGCAAATGAACTGAGTAATCCAGCTAACAGTTTTTAAGCAGTTACAGAACAGTTGTTTTTTTCCTATTGGGATAAAGGTTTTTTATGAATAAAAGTTGACCATTGTAAGAACCAGTCAGTATTGTGACATCCGTGTCCGTTCATCACCGCTGTGTCATCCGTGTCTGTCCTTGCGATGGAGGAAAAAAACTGAAATTACCGGACCCCATGTCTGTCTATGGGGAATTGGATGTACATTAGATTACCCCTGATTTGGCACATTCAGGTCCAGCTAAACGGATTTCTGATCTGTTTGTTTTTTCGGACCTGGCCGAAGTTGGGGGTAACTGGGTGTAAACGGACACCCATCCGTTCACACATAGCTGCCCATAGACTAACATTGCACAGCCGATGGGGCCCGCTTGAAAAAACTGACAGACGGACCCTATCGGACCGCCTGTGTGAAAGGGGCCTAAGTAATATTTGTATGCTGAGCAACTGTTGACTTTCTAAGATGTTTTTATTTTCATCTATTGTATAGTTTTCTCTATAAAAAAAACTTTTAAGAAAATGTTATTTTTGTTGGATTTAGATCCCATGTTTAACATTTCTGTATTTTCACTTCCTTTTTCTTTTTTTTTTTTTCATATTTATGTAATGTCACTTGGCTATAGAATATCACTTTGGGGATTCAGCAATAATGTATCACAAGCCTCAGTAGTGAAGTCGTGCCCTATTTATCTTGTAACACAAGTCTGACTTTTCTGCTGACAAATGTTGTTGATAGCAGAAGAGCCGTTGTGGAACAGTGGCCAGCATCATTAATTGTATTGGTCACAGGGCTTAGGAAGGAAAAACTCCGGTTGGGAATGGAGTAGATAGGCATTAGGTAAAAGCTTATGGCTCTGTGAGGTCTGGCCTTGAGACAGCTGTAGGCAGTTCTTTGTGCCACCAGGAATATGATTTTTATTAGTTTGCTTATATTGTTATATTCAGATCTTGTAAAACTAAAGACTAAATCCCCAGCTGGCACAAAGCCTCTTATTGTTGAAAAATAAAATACATTCACAAAAAGGATTTATTTCTGTGTCTTTAAAAAAAAAAAAAAAATATTAAACAAAGTATTTTCCGCTCAAAACCTGCATTTAAATATCACTAACTATTTGTTTTTTTTTATACTTGTGAATTGCTTCACTAGGCATTGAATCGTGCTCTGCCTCAAATGTCGTTTGGCTATTAAAAGTGTTTCTGGCACAGTGTGAAAGAATAAATTTAGTTTCATGTTCAGCTACCCAAGTCTATTTTATTTCAGGCGGTATTAGTGTAATTTACATGTCCAGTCTTAGAAGAGAGACAAAATGTCCTTCTCTGGGGCCATTGTTGTATAAACTCAGATGGAATGTGATTTTATGTCCTACTTCCAGCTGTCCATAAACTCCTGATCCCAAAGCTTAACGGTTATTCCCACAAACTGAATTCAGTATTTATTCTGCAATGAGATAAAATCAGTCTGAAGCTGTTTTCCACTCTTTTATCCAAGCTCACAGACTGTGTTGTCTGCATCTAAGCCAAGTATAGTGTAATAGTTGTTATAAATATAGAACACATTATGCGGAAGCTGATGGAATTGTCTGAGGTACCCACAGACTCTAGACGTCATTCAACTAGAAAGACTTGGGACATTAGGTTATTGCTGCATAATCCCATCAATCGTGGCAGGGTTGGGTGATAGTAAGGTTGCCTTTGGGTGACCACAGCAGATAGCTCTGACTGACAGATATTTGGCAGTACAATGGCCTGCTGTTTTTTTCATGGATGATTGACATTCGTGTTGTGAAGATTAGATGTCCATCAGAGGTGGTGTTCCCAGAACTCTGCCTGTGGAAAATGAGGCATCTTTTTGTAGTAGATCATCTGGTGCACTACCGCAAGGCCAGGGCAGGTAGGCCGTTCTGTATTTAAAGGCCTAATTTTGGCAACTCACTGGAGTTTATGTTCATACATGGAACACTATTGGAGCCAACATTCATTGTGTAAAACATATTAGCTTATCTCAAGCAAGTCTACCTGTGCATTTTCAGTTTTATAGCATAATAAATGTAAAAAGCACAAGTTCAAATGCATGCATATTCACTTTGCGTACATTTTTCTTAAAAAATGTTTTGCTTCATTGACATTTTCCAGTTCGAGAACCTTGTCACTATCTTGAAGCTGCCAGGAAAAAAGACATTCAACAATATGGATAAAGAATTTTTAGAAAAAAGAAAAACTGATTTGAATGCATACTTACAGGTATTTGTTTTCCTTTTTGTAATTCAATATTAATGGTGGCATTTTTGTGTAGCCGTGTGATTGGTAAAGATTAAAGTGACACTAACCTCAGGAGTTAAATCTTAAAAATGCACTCAAGTACCTCAACTATTAACAAAAATTTATCTTATTTGTGTATCACTCAGCTGTAGATGCTCAAATCATCTCTAAATTGGTGCTGTCACTGTCCTTCCTTCTGGAGGGGGGCTACTTTTGTTCTCCATTGTCTCTTGTGAGTGCTGTAAAGTAGCCACCTCCCAAGTTCACTCTTGTGATGGAAAGACTACAATCTCATGTTTACTCTAAATCTGCAATGAGATTGTAGTCCATCATGGGAGTGAGCTTGGAGCGGTGATTACTTTACAACACACACGGGGACCATGGGGAACAAAAGTAGCCATCCTCCAGAAGGAAGGACAGTGCCAGCACCAATTCAGAGATGATTTGAGAATCTGCAGCTCTGTGATACACATAAGATACATTTTTGTTAATAGTTAGGGTACGTGAATGTATTTGTAAGATTTAACTCCTGAGTTTAGTGTCACTTTAATTTTAAAGTGACTCTGTTTCTAAAATCAAAGTACCCAAAAGAGTTCCGAAGCACACAGTAAAATAAGTACCTCTGTCTCTGCTCATGCTGCTAGGTTCTGATTTCTCATTAGGGTAGACCTAGTGTGGGTTAAAATTCTGTTACAAAATGAACTAGGTCAGGGCTCAAAATTTCCAGTCCTGAGCTACTAGCCGGGCCTTAAAAGTTACTCGCCACCTAACCCCTACCCTGCCCCGGCCTTAACTCCACCAAGTCAGCGGTGAGACACAGAGTACAGAGATCAGTAACAACACACAATACAGAAGTCAGTGGTGCAATGCCGATTACAGAGGCCAGCTGTGTGACGCACAGTACAGAAATCAGCAGTACAGGGGTCAGCAATGTGAAGCAGTGTGGAGGTCAGTAATGTAACGCAGTGTGGAGGTCAGCAATGTGACGCAGTGCGGAGGTCAGCAATAAATCAGCAGTACAGGGGTCAGCAATGTGAAGCAGTGTGGAGGTCAGTAATGTAACGCAGTGTGGAGGTCAGCAATGTGACGCAGTGCGGAGGTCAGCAATGTGACGCAGTGCGGAGGTCAGCAATGTGACGCAGTGCGGATGTCAGCAATGTGACGCAGTGCGGAGGTCAGCAATGTGAAGCGGTGCCGAGGTCAGTAAGGTGACGCGGTGCCGAGGTCAGTAAGGGGACGCAGTGCGGAGGCTAGCAAGGTGACGCAAGGTGCGGCGGTCGTTAAGGTGACGCAGAGTGCGGCGGTCGTTAAGGTGACGCAGAGTGCGGCGGTCGTTAAGGTGACGCAGAGTGCGGCGGTCGTTAAGGTGACGCAGAGTGCGGCGGTCGTTAAGGTGACGCAGAGTGCGGAGGTCATTAGGTTAACTCCGTGTCAGCTGTATGTCCCGGCCGCTGTGCGGGGATGTACTCCTAAATCAGCCACTGAGTCTGGACACTACCGCCGCGGCGATCACTCGCTTCTGTTCTCTTCTCGGCCGGTCTGTAGTTGCAGCAGCCAATCAGGAGAAGAGGGAACAGAAGTGAGCAATCGCCGTGGCGGTAGTGTCCCATCCCTTGTCCTGCCGTTGGCGCACCCCCTCGATGACATTCCACTCGCCCCCACGCAATTTTCACTCGCCAATTGCGAGGGGGCAAGTGGAAATTTTGAAGCCTGAACTAGGTATTACGGTAACGCATATAACTGCACACTCTCTATGCGTTTGATATCTTACTGGCTATATAAAATGTTAGCTGCCATCCTGTTAACTAGTTCAGGTTCGAGCCTTCCAGAAGACTTACAAAATAAAAATTCAGATTTGCTGTCATATTACAGTAAATGTCCAGGTACCACATCCACAAACGAGCCATTCTGTTAGGGATTTCACCCTATTTCTGGACAATTGGGCTAACCTGGGTTACCATTTTTTTTACAGCTTTTATATAACAGCTATGATATAATATCATAGCTGTTATATAAAAGCTGTAAAAAAAATGATATAATATCATAGCTGTTATATAAAAGCTGTAAAAAAAATGGTAACCCAGGTTAGCCCAATTGTCCAGAAATAGGGTGAAATCCCTAACAGAATGGCTGGTTTGTGGATGTGGTACCTGGACATTTACTGTAATATGACATCAAATCTGAATTTTTATTTTGTAAGTCTGAGTGATTTTTCTCGTTCAGCCCACGGGCTAAACAAGAAAAATCTAAGAGAGAACAGCTAGCTTGAAGAAATGGAATGTCCCTCAGCGTCCTCACGTCTAATACACTATATTACACATGATGACTCATGAATCCTTAGACCACCAGAGGGGGGAGAGAGGCTGTGGGTGAGTATAACTTTTTTACTTTACGCCCTAGACCAAAACGAGCGCTTAACCCTTGCAGTGTGGGGGTAGCCCCACTGCAAGGGATATGTTTTATTCTGCCCGGATTGTTCTTTAAGAACTCACATTTATAGTAGGGTATTGAATGTAGAACCTTTTAATAGTTTGTTGCTGTCTGGGCTCTTGTTGGGGACCTTTTCCTCCCTTGGTGACCACTGTGACCGGAATTCAGGAGGGTTTCCCCACTTGGGGGACACAGACATCAGCAAACATCTGCCACACAGACTGACCTTTCTCCCAAAAAAAGAAAAACATTTATCTGGATTTTGACTTTAAAATGTTATCTTTTTTTCTTTCTCCATTTTAGATATTGCTAACTCCTGAGTTGTTAAAAGCCAACCAACATCTTGCTGTTATTGTATTTACTTTTCTTGAAAACAAACCTTACAACAAGGGAAAAGGGGACTTTGCCCGCAAGGTATAGTTTATGGTTCTAAATATTGGATTTAGCTATTTTAACTCCGATCACATTATGCTTCTTATGACACTGAAACTGACCTTTACCTTGCTTTGTTTCATAGATGGACACCTTTGTAAACCCTCTGCGCAATTCGATGCGGAATGTTTCCAATGTTGTGAAATCTTTTCCTGACAGCTTGGCAGAAGGCATGAATAAGATGTCTGATAATATGGGCAAAATGTCAGAAAGACTGGGACAAGATATAAAGCAATCATTATTTAAGGTACATTTTCTTAAAAGCACTGTACATGTACTATGTCTGTCTTAACTAGACATTATGTCCTACAACCCCCGTCCCACTCCTGCACATATTCTGTAAAACTTCCCTTTATACATACTTCTAAATCCAGTACCCTTAACCATCTCTGTAGTACTGTATTGTACAAAATAATGGTTGGGAGCTGGTCATGTGTTTCTGGAGTGCTGTTTATAAACAGTGCTTCGGAAAACACACTTTGGCGGCCATTGTGCTTGTGAATGGCTGTATCACTGGACAGCTCAGATCACAGTCACGGTGTACAGAGCCAATCAGAGAGGTTCTGTACCTTGTGATCACTGTGAATCAATCAGAGCCATGACAAGTATAAACACTAGAAGTGTTTACAAACATTCAGCCCAATGGAGGAAGCTTCCCTTCATCTGTTGTGAATGGGTTTAACGTTTCTCGACACAGCAGGAAGGAGGATTACAGGAGATAAAATGAAAATGGGGGCACTTAAAGTGCCACTGGCCACCAATGATGATGGGATCATCAAGTGGGGGAGATGGGGGTAAAAGTGCCACTGACTAGGGATGTCCCGATGCCACTTTTTCAGGACCAAGTACTTCCCCTCATGTACTTGCCGATACCAATTACCAATACTTTTTTTTAAAGGGACTGGTGACTTTAAATGATCCATAGTATAACTACATGTTATGTGTTATGGATCATGATTTAACCTATTCATGTTAGCAGGGGAGAATTGTAAATCTGTTGTGCATTCTATATGTAGTATATAGTACATGTACATATAGAGTGCACTGCAACAATAGATTTACCATTATCCACTGCTAACATGAATGTATTCAATGATTCCTAGTACAGGGCTACATACAAATAATTTAATCCATTCATGCTAGCAGAGTATAATTGTAAATGTATTGCCTGCACTGTATTAGCAGTGTGTACTCTATATGTACTCTATATGTAGCACATATAGAGTATATACTGCTAATACAGTGCAGACAATACATTTACAATTATACTCTGCTAGTACTGTACATGTACTACATATAGAGTACACTACAGCAATAGAGGTTTTTTTTTTCCAATTATCCCCTATTCCCCTGCTAACATGATTAGGTTACATCATGATCCATAGTACAACTACATGTTATATATGTAGTATACTATAGATCATGATTTAACCTAATACTCTATATGAAGAAGTAAATGTACACTTGCAATCAGAATATAAATACAATACTGGCAAAGTGGCAAAAACTACACCACTTGCCATCTCAGCAGCACAGGCCCTTACTTACTGGTGCCTGTTCAATGGAGCCTCATTGGGTGCCAAATGTTTTTTTCTCCTCATGTGGGGATGACGTCGGCGGCGATGAGAGGCTGAGCGGTGGAGCGTCGTGCCACTGCTGTGGGTGGAGCTACAGACGGAGTCCTCTGGGCAGTTGCCAGCCAACTACATTAGACCCGGATGCAGCGCTGAGCGGAGGAGCGTCGCGTCACTGCTGTGGGAGGAGCTACAGGCGGAGTCCTCTGGACAGTCACCAGCCAACTACATTAGACCCCCACCTGGAGCTCCGCCCACAGCAGTGACGCGACACTCCTCCAGCCTGCCCAGAGGACCCCAGCCACCACGGAAGGTAAAAAAAAAACAGCACAAGCTTCGGCGCTAGGCATCGGGGCATCGGGACATCCCTACCACTGACCATTAACAATTGTAGAATTGCGTTTTTTTTAAACTTGGGTTAGGGAGTTAAAGTGCCACTGTTCACCAATGATTGTGGGATCTTTTTTTACGGTAAAGAAATCATGTAAATATCAAACCTAAAGACAGACCATATTTTAACTAGGGATGCACCGATACCGATACTAGTATTGGTGCCGATACCGGGTGTTAGGGCGAGTACTCTTACTCGCCCAAATGCCTCGATGCCGAGCTCAATACCTGAACTTCCAGTATCCGAAAGCCGGGCAGCGAGTCATTACACGCTGCCCGGCTTCCTCATTAGCCAGGAAGCCGGCTCCATGCTCCCTCATCACTTGGTGACGAGAGAGCATGGAGCCGGCTTCCCGGCCAATCAGGAAGCCAGGCAGTGTGTAATGACTCGCCCCCCGTCTTCTTGATAGGCCAGAAAGCCGATTTCATGCCTCCTCGTCACCCTAGCCTTCCCGGCTAATCGGGAAGTCAGGTGGCGAGTCATTACACGCCGCCTGGCTTCCTTAATGGGACTTCCGTTATCGGTAGCCGGTATTGCCAAGTACCAAAAAATATATATTGGTACCCGATGCAGAAAAAACGGTATCGGTGCATCCCTAATTTTAACCTCAGTAAATACAGTTTTATTATCCTCATAATAGTGCATTCTGGGCACAGAGTTGTCTTTAACAAAAATATAGAGCAGGGGTGGGCAAACTCTGGCCCTCCAGCTGTGGTGCAACTACAAATCCCATGACACATTGCAAGACTCTGACAGCCACAGGCATAACTTCTACAAGCAGATGCATGATGGGATTTGTAGTTCCACCCTAGTTGGGGGGCTGTTGTTTGTATATCCCTGATATAAAGAGTATGGTTTGCTGCATTTGATTTAATACGACTGCTAAAAGTTCAGCAGAGTTTATTCATTTTGACATTTTACATATTTGTTTTTATTTCACTTAAGGCTCCAATTATTGTACCGAAAGCAGATTCAGATCCTCAGCATTGTCGAGTGTCTGCACAGTTGGATGACAATGTGAGTATTACTGTTATACATAGGATTTCATTTAAACTACTGATCTTATACAGACTTCCATGATGATGACGACCACATGGTAAATGATCCTGGGGTGCACTGTGTGTTACTGCCTTCCAGTGATGACTGCAAACTCCCGTAGCTGCAGACTGTGGAACATAGGGGCCACCATACACGTTACAATCTGACCGTTCAATAAAGTTTGTATTTACAAAAACTATGTAATACGAGGACCTACCTAATCTATCCAATCAATTTGCATCCAATTGTGTAAACCGTTACACAGCATCATTTTTGGTAGATCTCAAGAAGATTGTACAATCAGACTATAAAGTGTGTGGTGAGCATAAAGGGTATCTAAGGTCAAAAACTAAAATGAAATCTGTATTCCTGGATTGAATTTCCATTTGTTCTATCCTACTCCTAATAATCATATTGATCTAGAGCTTTGTAAGCTTGCTGATTGAAGATGACCATAGGATGTACTTCCTCATTGCACTGACACAAATTCACTCAGCCCTGTGAATATGCACTTCCTGTACAAGTAGTCACCCGCACACCAAAGTCCAACGTGTCAGTACGCCTTTATTTACATGCTAGGAATACAGGTAGCACTATTAGACAGCAATGTTTCCGAACCATTAGCAGTCCCTTTATCAGGCAAACATAGTGACGATGTTTGCCTTATGAAGTGCTGTTATGCATTTCCTTGTGTTACCACTCCAATCAAGTGTACCATCGGAACTACAACTTGACACCCACAATGTAACATCATCATTGTTTGCTGAAAGCAATGCGTGATGGGATATGTAGTCTTGAGAAATTAAGATTGCATCACATCAAGGAGCAGAGAAAGAGATGTAAAGCACACTGGGATTCCAGGAAGTTGGTGAAATTGGTGGGCAGACGGAAGGCAGCACTCACTACATAAAAGGGATTTGATTACATTATCAAATACAACTCTAGTATGTATTTCTTTTTATAATGCTGATGTTATAACACGATAGTATATGCTGGGACTTTACATCTCCTTTAAAACCTATTAGACATCACCAGCTAGGACCAGCTTGTTTTTCTATCACAACTTAAGAGCCACGACTTGCAAAGGCTATACAGGGTTATTCACTAAAGGGTGAAGAGTTTAGAAGGCAGGAAAAGAGAACAATCTAGGACAACATAGCTGATTTGGAAAAATGGTTTACTTGGCATATACATGTTGTTGCAATAAAGACATGTAAGATAGAATGTGATACCCGTTGGCTTAACATCCACCCTTTGTGACACCACTTCTGCATGTACGCAACTGACGCTCCAATAACGATACCACTATGCGTTGTGATTGGCCGCATGTGTGTGCCTCATTCCCATTTTATTTATGCTGCGTGGCCCCATTTTAAGTACGGAGTGCGGAATATTTCACACCTTGAAAAATGACAATGTTTGCCCTCCAGCAGCTGTGGCGAATGAAGCCGCTCTTGATTATTATAGAAGATGTGATAGTTTTCCCAGTATCTGGGAACACACCATTTACCGTTCACAGAATAGGATCGGAAATCTTTTATCTTTGAGTAGAACTTACAGGACAGAGATTATTGGTGATTATATGGATATTGGTCATCGTCATAAATCTGCACCTGTCCCACACTGTGAATTTTTATATGTCACTTCAAAGCATTCCATATTGTCTTCCTGGACATCCGCACTCTGCTGTCACTTTGATAAATGCCTTTCTATGAAAGGTCTTTGAATTTCTCGTCACGCCTGTAAAGTGATCAGGTGCTTCATGCAGTCCTGCCAGAGTTTCTCATCTGGACATTGAGGTGTAGTCGGAGCACTGCAGTCTTGTAACATGTTATAAAATAATACATAGTGCAGTTATGTTTAATTATGTAAGAATGCAGTCTCTAATTTGCCTCACATGGGTTCTCTCTCATTTAGGATATATAATTTCCCCTGAAGAAGCCCAGTGGGGCGAAACATGTCGGGTTTTATCTGAATGAGTCATCTTTATGTCCTATTTTAATAACAATTGTTGACTTGATGTGACATTTATACTGCATGTAAAATAGACCAACTACTTTTTAACTTTATTTATTTCTAATTATGTAATAAATGAATTCATATTTTTATGCATTTAGAGAGTTTATAGTATTTCTTAAAAGCCCCTCCCCTTTCGGTAATTGCATACCTTAAGGTGGAACCTACTCTTCGTATTCCTTTTAGTCAGTTATGTTTAAGAGCAGTGGTTCTCAACCTGTGTAACCTCAGGACCCAGATTTGTCCTTGGTCATTAAGTCGCACTGCAGTGGAATGCAGGGCATTGCAGTACCAGACGTTCGGGTCCGGCCAATCGAACTGTGAGCATTTGGGGTGTCATTCAAAATAATGGCAACACAATACACCTTCCACACCAGAACGCACAGTAGGTGCGATTGTGTGGTACCGTGCATTAATCGCATGGGACTGCGCAATTACTGTACTAGTGTGAACGGACCCTCAAAAACGGTGACAGACCGTAATAAATAACAAATGACAAATAATCCCACACACTCAGACATTCTCAAACACACATACACACTCCCCAAAAAATATTATTTTTTTAAGATCCACCCAGTCTCCCTAACTTATAAGAACTGGAGTGTATCCTCAGCTTGGGGTCCAGTGTGGGCTGCTGTGCTGTGATGGAGCTCCATCCATATGTGCATTGTTTGTACAACTCCCTTGCATGCCCTGTAGAGGTGCCAGGAGCCAGAATGTGACGTCAGTCCAGTCCCGGCACCTCTACAGGGCACATGTGGAAGCTGTGAGCAGTGTACATGTGGATGGAGCTCCTTTATGGCCATACTTCCAGCCCCCCCAACTCAAGCTGACACACAGGGCCGGGCAGCATATTTTGAATGGTTGCTCGGTGCGAGAACTGATGGTGCTGAAATAGTGGAGGCTGAGGAGTCTCTCACCTAGAAAAGTCAAAGGCATAAGGCGGCCCACTAAACATGGGGCCGCGACCCACTTTTCGCTCACGACCCACTAGTTGAGAATCAAGGTTTTAGAAAGACAGTTAGTGGGATTAAAATATGTTAAATTCTTTCATAAAACAGTTTTGATAAACTTTGTAATGTTTCAGCGGTATAACTGCCTAGCAAACCAATACAGGTTAAAAAGATCATACTCTGATAATATGGTGTTTTGGTCTTTGTAACATGGGCTGTTACCAATGGTGATGCACCGATACTTTTCAGATACCAGTGCCGATACTCAGCATTTTCATGAGAACTACCAGGGTTGCAGCGGTTGCAGCTGGGACCTGGCTCTGGCACTCCACCACTGTCCTGAAATCATTAGTCTGTATTGTTTTAGAAAAACTGTCACATAGCAATAAACAAAAATGTATCAGTACTTGTACCTGTGAGGACTTGGGCAAGTCCTCCGCTTGTAAACGACAGATAAGGGATTCCTGCTGGGGAAATCAAAGGTTCCTGACGCAGGAATCCCTAATCGCACCTAAAGATATAGGTGTGAATGGGGCCTAAGGGTTTTGGGTCAGTTATATTTAGAGTACACCTTTGACAAAGGATTCCTGGAGCTCTTACAGTCAATACCGATTAGTTTGCCTCCATTTTCTTTTCAACAATTACGTAGTTTGTTTTTGAGATTTGTGTGGAGTAACAGAAAACCAAGGTTGTCATATGATATTTTGAGGCGCAGCAAACAAAATGGCGGCTTGGGACTGCCAGATGTCTCATTATAAGGCTGTTGCATTACAGAGGATACTAGATTGGCAGTATTATGAGAAGGATAAGCAGTTGGTTCTGTTGGAAAAATATATGGCCGGTAGAAATGTAGCTAATGCCCACTGGCTACCATCAGCCAGTAGAGGTTTGGCGGCCACAGTATCGCCCCTGACTATACACACTTTAAAGGTATGGGATACAGTAAATAAAAGGGGAGAATTGGTCCCTAATATATCCCCTTTAGCGCCAATTGGTGGTTCGCCCTGGTTTTTACCAGGACAGCACTTATTATATTTTCGGACTTGGGTGGTGGATGCGGATGTTCGTTTGGGCAGATTTATGGTGGAGAAAGCTCTTATCCCATTGGAGGAACTGAGAGAAAAAGGGGCACATTTCCTTTTAGATGCTTTGCACTATTTACAACTCAGTAACTTCCTTCGGGAACATATTAGTCTAATTAGGCCACTTGGGTCTTTAACTTTTTTTGAAAAATGATGTGACTCTAGGTCCCCCCCCCTAGTCGCTCTCTATCTCTTATGTATAAAATTTTATTGAAAATAAGCTTAAGAGGTTCTCTGTACTTTATGAGAGAATGGGAGAGGGACATGGGGGTGACTTTTTCGGACGTACAGAAGGACCAAATACTAGCGCGGCCCCATAACTCATCTATAGATTCCAGAGTTCAAGAAACCAATTATAAGGTGCTTACCCGGTGGTATGGGGTTCCATATTCTTTAGGGAGAATTTATCAAAATGTCTCTCCTCTATGTTGGAGGAACTGTGGTTTACAGGGGACATATTTACATGTGTGGTGGGCATGTCCTAAGCTTAAGCCTTTTTGGCAAGACATTGGAGAACAAATACAGACCATTCTGGGTGAGACTCTCACGTTTTCTCCAGAGGTCTTTTTGCTGCATTTGATGCCTGTGTCAAAGGCTAAATACAAAGCTAAAGTTTTGCCTCATCTCCTAAATGCAGCAAAGAGGTTAATACTGAGATTTTGGAAGAGCCAAAAGGTACCTACAAGATCAGATTGGGTAAGGCAGGTTAATTGTATTATGGAATCTGAAAAGTAGATAGCAATGGGTAGAGAGAATCATGATGCGTTCCTCAGTAAATGGGATATTTGGATTGATTATAGCTCGATGAACCTTTAGGGTGGGAATTTTGGGGGAGGGTTTTGGAATATGGAAATATGGTTTTTATTAAGAGGGTATCCAATTTATTTATTTATTTTGGTTGAGGCTTTTTGCTGGGTTCATGATCTATGGAGTCAGTCTTGTGTATATATATATTTGTTATGTGATAGTGGTAATTCGGGAAATTCTCTTCTTTTTCTTACGTTTGTTTGTGTGGACATGTATATAATGTGTAATACATGTATAAATAAAGATTTAAAAAGAAAAAAGGATTCCTGGAGCACTATTGGTTTTTATGAATTATGGGGACAGAGAACGCAAAGTAACAGGTATTCAGCTGTTTGTCTCTTTATCTCTATTTGAAACCTGTGACAGAGCCAGTGGGAGCGATAGGATGAGCAAGCACTCTGACGAAAACACATTTGTATATAAATTTCTTTGAGCTACTAAGCTGGCAAAGAAGTTAAGTTAAGGAGAACAAGTTACAACACTGACTCTACTCAAAGATTCATAATAATCACAAAAAATTGTTAACAAATGACTCCTTATATACAATCCCATAAAAGACTTGCCACACAAAGTTATAATGTCCAGCTAACAACATAAAGTACTACTCTCCGATGTGCAGCTTGCTGTGTGTAGAAGATTTGAGTGAACAGGGTTTTTCACTGTTGAGCATTTAACAGAGATGTCATATAAATCTTCCTTCTTTGTTAGGATGATGACAATATTCCGTTACGAGTGATGCTGTTACTCATGGATGAAGTCTTTGACCTGAAAGAAAGAAATCAGTGGTTAAAAAGACAGATTACCAGTCTCCTTCAACAGCTCATCAAGGCAACATATGGAGACACAATTAATCGGTAAAAAGCTTTCTTTGAGTTTAATGTGTGTTCTGCCTCATCAGGCCGTTCACTAGACTTGTACAGGTTCCATGAAAAATACAATTTTTATTAACACTATAAAAATGTATCTTGCTTTACACAGCTGTTTATGGTAAACCATTTTGCGCACCTGATTGTTTTCTTTTTTGATCCCAGAAAAATTGTTGATCACGTGGAGGCCATGACATCTCCTGATCAAGTAGCGGATTATGTGAAGAATTTCAGGTAAATTACAAGAAAAATAAATGACAACTGTAAGTGTAGTTGTGGAATGTGTGAGAAAATGCGATTCTGTAATCCTTATCCCTGCTTGACTAATTTCAAAGACGTTTATGTTGCAGAGCAAACCTAGGTGCCCAGAACATTCTTCTACTGAGATCTGTTTCCAGTGCATTCATTGGTGGAGCTTATGTAAATGCCCTTCTACTATCTACCCATTTATAATGTAGCTCATACTGATATAAATGATGTGGGCAAAAGTTTGTAGACGGCTGATCATCACATCACTTCTACACTATATGGCCAAGAGTATGCGGACACCCCTCTGATTTGAAGGCCACTGTTAAAGTTACAGCTTACAATACAAAGATAATTTGGGCCAGGTTCACATTTGTGCAGTAATGCGTGCGAACGCACTTTGCCGTAAGACAGCCTATTCATTTTAAATGGCCTGCCAATACATTTAATCGCACCAAAAACTGCATCTGACCCTTTTACAGGAATGCAGCACATGTGGTGTACTGCAGCACCGGTGAATTGTCTGAGTCTGTTAGGTTGTCTTTCAAAATTAATGGCATGCCAGCACACTGATGCATGTAATGTGTACTACTGGAACTCAGTGGTGTGAACCGGCACTTAGACAGTTGTGCACTTCCAACCTTGTGGCTATGGTTTAAGGAAAGCTCTTTTCTGTTGCATCATGCCTGCGCCTCTGCTTAGAAAGCCAGTTCCATAAAGCCATGATTTGTCAGGTTTCTTGTGGAGGAATTAGTGCCCTGCAGGGCACCATGACCTCAACCACCTTCAACATCATTGGTTTGAATTGGGATGCTGATTGTGAGCCAGGTCTTCCCCTCCAGCATCTGTAACTGACCTTACAAATGCTTTTTTGGATGAATGGGCACATATTCCCTCAAACACACGTCAAGATCTTGTGGTAAGCCTTACTAGAAGAGTGGGGTCTGTTATAGCCAAAAAAGGAGGACCTAACATGCAGCATGCAGAAATTCAATTGTTTAAAATGCACCCGTGCTTTTGTCCAGCAATGGGTGGTGAAACAGTAGATGTCTGTGCCCAGCCATGGTCCAGGTGCTGCTGCTAGATTTTAACATTCCGCATTGCATTGCACAATCCACTGACCACCTTCAGCATTCAAAATAATGATTGTTTTGGTCAAATTGTATTGGATTTTACAGCAGGAATGATCTTTTCTTTTTTTTTTTTTAAAGAAAAATATTTACCAAACCAGCCATATATTGCAGTTACCTTTGGCATTGTCTGTAACTGTAGCATGATAATTTATCTCCTCAAACGGTTATTGATTTACAGAGACTCCTTTTGGCCGAACGGAATATTGGCAGAAACCACCGCCTTCCGAGACCGCAGTATACGAATGCGCACTAGAGTGGCAGGAAAAACAAAGCTGCTGGAAATTATGCCAGGTATAGTGACAACACATTTCTCCTTTCAGCACAGTGCTGGTTCTTCCAGACCAGAAAAGTAATGCAGATGTGTATGCAGTAAAAATAATATGTATTTTTAAAAGCAACCACTGTAAGTACCATTTGGTATGAGCCTCTTGTAATCTTCCTGTGTATAGCAGCACTATATAGAGAAAGTGGGGCAGCACTAACGGCTAATCAGGTGCTGATGGGAGCACCAGGTGGTGTGTGCTAGGACATGAACTGCTTCTTCACTGTCCATTCGCAGGCTGAGGGTGGGGAGGTAAGCCAGCTCTGTTGCCGAAATGCTGCAAAGTCAGGTCACTAGCCTGACTCTACAATATGACAGGTCTATAAATTTCAGGCCTGAAAAGGCAGAAAAAATTAATCATTTGGAAGATAAAACTGCTCTAGTGTATGTATTTTAATTATGTACTGTTTGTAGTTTAGCTTTAAATAAAAGGACACTTTTCTTTTCCATAGATGAACTGAAGCACATCATTGGGGCAGAGACAACGCGGAAGGGCATCCTTCGTGTCTTTGAAATGTTTCAGGACAGCCAACTAAACAGGAGACTTGTATATGTGTTTTTGGAAGGCTTCCTGGAAACATTATTTTCACAATGTAAATTCAGAGAGCTTTTTAACAAACTGCATTCCAGGTCGGAGAGAATGCAGCAATATAGACAGAGACCGCAATCTTCTCATGCACCTGCCTTACAGAAAAGGTGACACTCCAACCTTTCTAGTTGTGCCCTGAAGACTCTGCAGTGTTTTATCCTGGAATTGCTGAACGGCGTTTTGGGGATACTCTCTGAGGCTTGAAAAAACGACGTTTCCACACCATTCATATCATGTCTTGTAGATTATGAATTCATCCACAAGCTGCATAGCTCTAATCATTCTTCCTACTGTTCAAGCATTCATCAGTTGGAATAAGTCTTAACCCACAGAAAATAAGGACCGCTGCTACCGGATTTGTCAGGGAAATGCTTGATGGAAAAGCTTGAGATTCCAGTGATTTGGGAAAAGTGCTAGCTGTATTTTTCTACATATTCTTCAAGCACAAATGCATTGCTATAATGGAGGATCAAATGAGTTGGTGTTGTAAATGGATATTTGTGCAATGGGCAACACTATTGTGGTGTGAGTGAATGCTTGAAAGGTTGCGATTAATGTTCCCATGTAGCAGAAACGTGGAGATTCAGTGAATGGTAATCAAGTAAGGGGAGGGATCTCATTAGGTGATGAGGCTGTTGCCTGTGATTCCTGAACCTAGGATTGGTCAGCAGGCAGTGAGTACAAGCTATAACAGACAAGTTATGTACCATTTGTTCAGATGTCTAGTTTTTACATTTTAAATCAGGTTTTTCATTTACAATCAGTCTGGCGATTTCTGTTTGACTATAGACTAATATGCTGGTTGGCTTTAAAAGGGGGAGCTATCCTTTGATCACACTTTTGCCTGACTTATTGCTCCCCTGTGACTGTGAGCTTTATAAATACCATTCATTTGGGGCCTACAACAGTACCAAATGATGTGGCAGTGAATATTTATTCAGAGCTATTGATGGTGCTTGTGAAGCGGGCTGAAGGTCCGATTCACTGTTGTGTTGGTTGCAGTAGAGTGCAGGATGATTCACCTAGTGAATTAAGATTTCCATACGCATACCCTCTTTCCATACGCTTCAGGAGCATCTGAACATCATTCAGTATGTTTACTTAAATTGGAGAGCTGTGTAAAGCCTGATCCCTAATTTGACAATGGTTTTGAGATGAGCTGGCTATTGAGGGAAGAACATTCATTAAAAAAAAATTCACCCAGCATCCTGGTTCTCCAATAATAAATCAAGGGCTGTAAATATAGTGGAGCTCTTTCTGGTGGAAACCCCTTTTAATATCTTTTCTTTCGGACATATCCAGCACCCTCTGAAGTAATGTAATATTTTACATATTTGGAAGTGTTGCTACCACTAAATGGGGTTAAACCACAACAGTTTGTGAGCAGTGTGCATTTCTTCCACATACAAGTATTGAATTGTACTTTTCCCCCAGTAGATCAGTGTCATTGAGCCAAAGAATGTGGCTTGTGGCACCTGTGTGAGCACGATGACCGTTATCAGTCTTTTCTCTACATAAAGAACTATTGGGCATTGTTGCACTTGCTATCTGATTACTTTAAATGTATTCAAATTAACATAAAACTCATGCTTTTATTGATGACGTTTGTAATGTTTTGAGGGTTATTTGTCCATCCTTTTGTTCTAAGTTTAAACCAAAAAGAAAACTGATGTTTAGCAATTTTTTTTAAATTTTTGGATAGGAGTATTAGCACTTAAGGGAAGTATCTCCATTAAATCTGTTCAGGGTTCTCTTCATTAACCTGTTTATATTTAATTTATTAGTTGTAGATGCCTATGAATAAGTAAACAATGTAGTGATGGGCTCCAGTTACCTGGCGCTGCCTAAATGTGGCCCTGTTGAGTCTAATCAGATACAGTGGCCACACAATAGAAAAGACAATGCAACATATTCCCTCAACGTAAACATCATAAACTTAAATGCTTTAATTTGTCATCCATTGAGGGACACAGCAAGTCTGAAACCTTTGGGATTTAAAAAACAAGGAGGAGTGGCCACACAATAAGGTAAACAGCAAAAGATGATGTAACATATTCCCTCGGCATAATCATCATAAACTAAAAAGAAAAAAATCTAGGCCAGCCCACTACCAGCATGCCTCAGTTTTCTTGCTAGCGTCTTAGGAGGATGGACGTCTTTTGTTCAGCTCTACTGTTGTAAAGACTAATTTTTTTTAGCATTTTTCTCTTCAATTTTTTCAATTCAAGTCTTCAAACAAGACTCTTCTCTACATTGCTGCTGGAGGTTTTCCCTCTTCTGCAGCAATATTACGTGGTTGTTCTTCGATTGTACCAGTACCCTGCTAGACTGGATGTTGTGGGGCTAGCCTAGAAGTGACCTTCTAGCACCGGGCTCCTCGTCGGATGCAGAAGTAGACTGTGAAGTCTCCTCCCTCGCTGTATGGTAGGAAGCATCCCTTTCACTTCTGCACACCCTCAATTTCAGAGTTGAGACCCCCCAATCTTAGCTTCACATCCACCCTTAAAGTCTGACATATATCAGCATGAAGATGTGACCCCTTTTTCCAGAGTGGGAGGACGTTTGTTGGCCTTTGCCGATATTTGGGTGTGGGAGGTGATGCTCCAGAGCAACAAACTCGAGTTTTGTTCCCTACCCTCTGCTTGCTATCTCCCTTCAATCAGTGGTGGAAGAGTGAATGCTTTGGTGGCTCCATGGAAGTAGTACACCTTGAACTAATTCTCTGAGTTTCCCTCCCTCACAATTCTTCTCCTTCCTGCAGTAAGGCCTGGGCCAGTATTTGGTCCTCAGCCACCATCATATGTCAAGTCTCTGCTCTTTCAGCTTGGTTTCAGAGACCATTGTCCTCTCACTTCTTGATTAAGACCTTTGTGCAGGGGTCTCCATGTTGTTTCCTCCTGACCATGCTCCTGTGACTCCATTGGATCTATAAATCTGCTCATCTCTATGCTTCAGAAGACACCCTTTTGAATCCATTAGACAAATGCCCTTCTCTACTCTTGCCCACCAGGTTACTTTCCTGGTGCCTAACACCTTTGTGAGGTGAGTGTCTGTCTGAACTGGTGGCCTTATCTTACGGAGAACTATTTTAGGTTGCTTGCATAGGGACTAGGTGATGTTTAGACCCAGGACTCTCTACTTGCCTAAGATGGTCTTTGCTTTTCACCTTGACCAGGGAATTGTTCTCTCCTGCTTCACTTAACCAAAAAGATATTTCTATCCATTGTTCTAAATGTGGATTGGGCTCTGTGAGTCTGTATCTCAGCCACTTCTTCTTTTAGAAAGACTAATTCCCCTTTTGTCATTACAGAAGGGTGGTCTGGGTTCTTGTTTCCCCATTTCTAGGTGACTCAGACAGACCATCATTTAGGCTTATGGTCTCAAGGATTGGATTCCCCCTTTCCAGTAAGGGTTCACTCTACTAGATCTGTGAGTGCCTTTCTGCATCAGACAACTGTTTCTCAAATGTGTAAGGCTGCCACCTGGTCTCTGTCCCTACATTCTGTAAGCTCTACCAGGTGGATGTTTCTATCTCATTTGATGCCAGCTTCAAGCATAAGGTCCTTCAGGTGGCTCTTTGGACTTGGGAAGTCGCCAATTTCTGTTTACGTTGGGTCTGTTGTCATTTTTTTTGCTGTTGCCCGCCCCTCAATTGGACTCTTTTTGGACATCCTAAAGGTTTAAGATTTATTTTGTCCCTCAGTCGACTAGAAGGATTTTTGCACTTACTGTAAAATCCTTTTCTTGGAGTCCATTGAGGGACACAGTTGTGTTTTATAGTCATGCTTTCAGTACTGCTCTGCTACAAACCTGAGGTATGCTGGTAGTGTCCTATGTTTTTCTTGTCAGGTTTTTTTTTTTGACCAATCCTTCTGTAGGTGGCAATATAACCGGAAGGTAAGAAAAAAAAACCTCCTGTGTCCCACAATGGACTGCAAGAAAAGGATTTTACAGTGGGTACAAAAATCTTAATGGAAGCATAAAGCTCTGTTTTGAAATACACACTTGTAGGCAATGCTGACTGAGCTTGGTTCACCATGTTGTGAATAAAAGCCAGTACAGTGTAAAACACATGCATTAAAAGCTTTTTTTGTACATACCTGTTCATTTAGCATGGTAAAAACAACTATGCGTTTTTTAATGCAATTGGCTCATCCCTTTCTGATTCATCTTATAGACTTAGATCACAGTCCTATGGCAAGTTTAACTATCTCTGCCACCAAATCCTTACACTCATAGTTCCCTGAATTCTTTGATATATAATCCTGCAGGTTAGGTAACAAGAGGTTACGTTTCAGCCGTGTATTGCTAGATCTGCAGAAGGCTTGAACAATCATGGTATTGGATAAACCAAATAGATTTGGGACATCTTAGATGGGCGTTGACAGCCTATATCAATCTTGGCACAATGAGACTAATTGTATGAAAGCTACATATGCATGCCGATCCAGTGCTTGTTCAGGGTCTTGCATTCTGACTGTTCAATATTCAAGTAGGTATCTCTTGCACCATTGACAATGGTTAGAGGCACTTGCAGTGGCCAGTTATTGGAAGAGAAGTTTACAAATCAAATTTCTCTCAGATAATCTGCTTGTGTGTTCTCCCTTGTAAACTGTCCATATTGCTCTTTGCATTGTTGACCACACTCAGGGGCCACTGTATTAGGTATACTTATCTAGAACCCATAAGGGGTTGGGCATGGTCAGGAAAAGAACTCGGATGCACTGTGACATACAGATGATACTTAACTAGTATTAAGGGGCCCTATCAGCACCAAGGAAATGTGCCCCACCTCATTGCACCACCACCAGCCCAATTTGTTAACAAATGACAAGATCCTTCTGCTTGTTGTTGTAGAAAGTGATTAGACCAGGCAACGTTTTTTTAATCTTCAGTACAGTTTTAGAGATCCCATGCCTACTAATGCAGCCACATGATCTGCTGCTCTAATAAAGAGGCCACTGACTATAAGATCTTATGTATACCATTTGGAGTACTATACAATACATATGCTGGGATTTGTGGAATGGTTACAGTGAACCAAGACTGTGTCAATCATGAGCTTAATTCAGGTTCCAATCACTCCAGCCATTTTTTTTTTATTGTACTTGATTGGTTGAGGCCTCCATTTATAGGTAAACAGTATGTATGTGTGTGTTTGTTATTAAGCCCTTGCTTATTATGTAATGCAGTGTCATTCTATGTTTAACATGTTAAAGAAGTTGAGAATTTTAAAAGATATATTTTTTTAATCTTAGTTATTTCATGATTTAGTGAATCTGCAGAGTGCTGCTCAAAAGCTGCTGTACTAGACTGTGAAGCAGATCACAACTTAAACCTGCCATCCATTCTGCCCGCTGTAGAATCCAGCAAACTGATTGTACAATGTGGTGTATATATAGAGTATATTACATGCAGCTATATATTACAGCACTGTTGTCTGGACAGCACCATCCATTATATGGATGCTTTGATTTCATTGCTGGAAATTTTTGTGCCATTGTCCAAAACAAACACTTTTTTATTTTTAGCCTTAATAGTTAGTTTTTAAACAAATTAACCATTTCGTTTTGGCTCTTTTTCAATCATTGTACTGATGGTGTTGGATACATGTTGGGCCTATACTATAAGGATATGCTTAAGCTTTTGAACTATAGTATGACAAGCATTGTTTTTGTTTTGCGTTCCTTTTAAGATGTGCAATATTTATATGCAATATTGGTGGTGTCACTAAGAGTGAGCCCTCTATACAAAGCTATATATTTCCTTAGATGGAAGGCATGAGGACTGTCTGTTTAAAATTATACTGCCGATGTGAAGGTACAGTAAGGGGGGG